ATATATCATTAATCTCGGAAAAGGCTTTCAGAATTTTAGTATACAGGGGGTTTTCAGGGCGATAAATCGATCTAGATAGGTTTCTTTTTTAGAAAATTTTATCCGTGTTTTCAGGCAATGAAAAACTACTACAATATCATTAGAATACGAAGGTAAATTTTGCCTCCACCTAAAAGGTTATGATAGCTCAGGTGGGAAATATGGCTGTCAAGAATCCCCCGGAAGACCCCGGTTCGAGTCCAGATGATTTTTTTCCCTTCAGCCATCTAGATATTAAATAGTTGATACAGTTAATATATAAATAATGTATAAATAACTATTAAACAGTTCGCACGACGAGGTCATTGGCATTGTTTTAAAATTTTTTGGTAAAGCTCCAATATGCATTTAATTCATCTGTATGTTATCTTGGTCCGACATTTTTCAATGTAAACATTACTACTATTTGTTCAACTGTGAGGCTATTTTGTGTGATGAATTCACACAAAATCAAATAATCAGATGAAACACGGCAATTCTGACCCAACATGAATGTAACGATGAAATATTACATGGTTCAGAAGACTATACATAAGAAAGAATGTTCGTAACTACATACTGTCCCGCAAGAAAACTTATCTGTCGAAAAAGCGAGATCGAGCTATTAATATTGTAAAACCGAGAATAGACACAAAACGTGACGATTTTGGGTAGTTCATAGCAAAAGTTTCAACGGAGGACGATGCATTGACTCTAGAGTATCATCGTGCATCCGCGCCGCCCACGCACTCTCGCGCCAATTTGTGGATGAGTAATCGTCCTACGTGATGAGTTGATGAAATTTAACATTGGTTTTACTTTTGGTCATAGTCTACAATAATAAATAAAATTAGTAATCTACGAAATAATTACTTTATTCAACCTATTTTGCTTATCTTTCACCTTATTAAATAATGGGGAAAACTTAAGTTAATAATTTGAAGCTTATTAATACTAAAAATAAGGTGCATTTAGGTCAAATGAAAAGAAACGTAACGTAAATGCGCCTTTCAAGACTTCGCAGTATCCATTGTAGTATACATTGTGTAATATTCATTTTCGACGCGAGTATGAGTCAAGTTAGCACACGTTACACCTGATGTTAGGTGATAATGGACATCCATAACGCCAAAAAGAATGGATTGCCAAACTTTAAGGGCATGAGCCCGGTTGCCTAACTCACCGGACAAAACGCAAAACTGTAAACACTAATGGTCAAATTGTCAAAAAGTCTTATTCATAATCGTTCTATAACGCTAAAACGTTCAATAACTCTCAGATAAAGCGTGTTTGATATAAACAAGCTAGGACGCTACTATAAACCTTCGATAAACGTACATTTGTGAAAAACATGTCAGATTTTGTTCAGTTCAGCTGATTACTGTCGTTTGTAATCACTTGTTTTAAATCATTCCACGCCGCCACCTTCGTTGCGTTGGAGATCGTGTCGGTGTTTTTTACGTAGATTTTAGTTAATACAAAACTCCTTCACCAAATCAGTCTTTCAACATAATCTTTGACAGCAAAAACAGTAAATTTTAGTTGGTAATGCATGCATAAAAACATTACAGTGCGAAGTTCTGGACTTGCGAATATAACAAAATTGTAACAACTTTATCTTCCTCTAGCCAATTTTCATTACTTTGCCTTTTTAGCATTCATGTTCATTTTAACATTACAATCATTTTATAATTTTGTTAAGGCCAAAGACTACTAATAAATAATAACAGAAAAATAAACACGAATCACGATCAATAAGTTTGACACAAGTCAAGATACTATTTTTTTAATTGTAGCGATTCTTAGATAAAAACTCATGAAACCATTCTATTATCATTCAAATTTCACCAGTTTTCTACGAAATGGCAACATTATGTTCAATAAAGGTATTTTTGTTATCGGGGGTTTATCAAACGATTGTGAATAAAGATTTTTATCGAACGTTTGATACGCTTAAAAGACGTTTTAACTAATATGGGTTTATACCTTAGATAAGCGTTTTATTATGAATAAGACAGTTATAAGTTACGCCAGTCTTCTGCGAGACTGTTATTTCCTGTGACGACTCATTAATAAGTTTTTTCGTGGTTTCACCAGTTTCGTTGGACGTAAAACTCTAAAGTACTGAACCTATTTTTATACTTCCGAGGCCGCGAAGAGAGAAAGGGAGGTAACTGCCACCCTGGAAATCCGCCGCCGGAGACCAGGGCGCAGGAGGCTGGCCTACGCATGCTGATAGCAAGCCCCGGGGCGGCAGATGTGGGACTAGCCCTCTCAAGCCCTCTGCTGCCCCGCGGAGGGCTTGAGAGGGGTGCCGTGTTCATTGCACCGACACGGCACCATTTGGCAGGACCGGGTGTCTAAACACCGGGGAGAGGAGGCCTAAGAAGGCCACAGTCGCGGCGGGGATCGCGGAAGATTGCGTTTTCGTGTTCCCGTGTCCCCGGCGAAGAGACAGTGCAGGTGCAACGTGGGTTTTTTAGTGGGTACCCCGTAACTCCCACATACCACAGGTCCAAAAGGCCATAGTCGCAGAAGACGCGTCTACGTGTTCCCCAGTCCCCAGCCGATGCAACGGAGACAACTGCATCGTGGGTTTTATAGTGGGTATCCGTCTCCGTAACTCCCACATACCCTTGCCACTCCTCCAATCCAGTGGCAGAGGATCCATCAAGGATTTCCCCACGGAAAAAAAAGGTTAAATTTCTCCAACCGGGCGATGCCAGCGATTGCAGTCAGTCATTCAAAATTTAATATAATCTAAAATTATAATTTAATGTTATTGTTTTTATAAACATGTTCATATGTACCGCAAATATGTAATGCAACTGCTATGTCGACATAAACGCAAGGAACGATCGTAAAATCTTTCCAGTCTAGTTAATTTGAAAGCGATTAGATAATGTATATTTTCGTACTTTCCTATTTGTTAGAGCTGATGCGTGCAACGCAGCGTTTATTTTAGTTTGTATCTGTTTTTGTCTACTTAACGCGCATTGTGCGACTTTTTTCACATTTCAGTAGGTAGAGGAGAACAACGAGTTTTGATACCTGAATCCCCGATGATAACCTGAAAATGGATATATAGATTTGCCTTCTGGAGTTAAATTTAATGCAAATGGTGGTGACATTTAATGAACGGTCATTTCATAAACGACGTATTGGTTAAACAATGACTGCGGTTATCTTGCAGATAAAAATTTTATTACGCCTAACAGTGTGATGTGTGTCCTGCATTGGAATTACTCAGATGCAGGCTTGAATAATAGATGACTCTAATTGAATACAAACTCAAGGCGGGTATCTTTCCAATCTATTCGATGACACATGCTAAACAAATATAGTTTAACGTGCTATAATATGCATACTGTACGTAGGAAGATCTAGCGCGTCACCTGCGGTTTGCGGGAGCGCGCCAAGAGATGAGTAATGTCTCGTTCGCTTCGTGCACTATCAAATTATTATGCAAGCCAGAAACCAAACAAAGGACCCGGCCGCACCATAAGCTAGGCGGGTATGCCAGCTGTGAAATCTCCAAAATGCCCCACCGTGTACCGAACCAAATGACACTTGAATAAATATTTACTTTAAAGAACTATCATCAGGTGAATGCACTTTTCGTAGGGCTTCGAAATATTAGGAGAAAATGACGATTGACTCTAATAAAACGAGAGAGTTAAACTAAGTCTGTTGGAAAATGGCGAATGTGTCAAATTCGAGCGGCCTTGACACTTGTACGACATCAAAACGTCTTAGCTGGACCGCTATTGATTTCGACTTTTTCTAAGTTCTTGACGTTCCCGCGAGAAAACGCCAATACGCCCGCGAATACGCCAATAAAAGTTTAAAGTCTAACCCATAATATCTAGCGAAAATCTTAGTCCCCTCAAAGCTTCTAGCAAGAATCTGAAGGTTTATGAATAAAACATGATTGAAATCTTATCACATATTCACTGTTCTTAAATAACTTTGAGTTAACTTTAGGACCAAAGGGAGAAAAGGAGCCTAAAAAAACCTCTTTGCATAAAGAAAACAGTTCATTTCATCATAATAATCATAATAAATATAATAACTAGTGGCCACCCAGTGACCGATATTCTACCTTAATTAATTTTAATTATACATAGTGACATAAAAAGTATGTAATGTTTTTTTATTGTCAATCTATTTTTATGCATAATTTAAATATATTAAAAATATATTAGCATTCTGCACTCCTCTATATAAACTATAAGTGTAGGAAATTTCTAACTTGTCCATCTGTGCAAATTTCATAAAAAGGGGTAAATTTTTGCTTCACATAATTATTAATATCTATTTACCTATTTTTATCCATCAATACCTATTTAAATAATAATAATATAGACCTATTATATACATATTTGATATAGTTCAATACTGATATGACTTAACACTGAGATATGTTTGTGTCTATTACAAAGCCCAAAGAACTAAGAAAAAAATGCCTCAAAATAGCCTAAGTACATACCACATTGTACAATAACATAATGACATATCTTTGTTTAACATGAAGAATTGTCATTCTTTCATTCAAAGACGAAGTCAAAAGTTAAAATTTATCTCTTCAATCTGTCTTGGTTTCAAATTCTTATTGAAAATCAAAGTACTACCATCAATTATTAAATGATATGACAAATGGCCATGTGTGTTGTTGTAAAATGATAAAACAAATTGCTAATTATTTAATTTTATATTTAACCTATTTATTATTTACATTTTTATTACTATATTTAATCTGAAAACTGCACCTACAAAAATAAGATAGTAATCCTTTTTTTATGAAATAATTTATTAAATTTTTAATATAATTAAGAAATAATTTATTATTTTTTTAAGAAATAATTTATTAAATTATTCCTTTTTTTATGAAATAAAATATTGAATTAAATTTTTTTTAACACTTGAACAGGGCTTCTAACTAGTCTACTTAGATCCTAAATTTAATTAAATCAATTACTTACTTTTCAGTCAAGTATTGGGTTGTCCAATAGATCACTTCTCCCGGCAACTCGGCTTCTGTGATCGTGTACCCAGCGATATTAACTGGCAGTTGGTCCTCAGGGTTTACAGTGGCCGCAAAATTTTCGAAAAAAACTCGGTAGCACGTTAAATAGTCATCTTTATCACCCATTTTCGAATACGTTAGCTAACAAAAAGAATTTCGAAATAACGTGAAATCGATCAACAAACTCTTGTTATATGTTCCACGGCAAATATAAAGCTTATTTACACGAGGTAAACCAAGCAAATAGTAAGCACTTTTTATTACTTAAAATCTAACATCACATACTCATAAACTATTTAACTTAAGTCGATTCGTACAGAATTTTATACAATTGATAAAAATCAAAACATTCAATTCACATCTCGCTCACACACGTCACTCCATTATCCAAATTAATCACCACAGTGTTACCAACTCTCAAAAATATTTGTCCCCAAAGCATAAATCAAAAACCCATAATATAATCCCTCTAATAATAGAATGTTATAAAAGGTTATATATAAAAATAGAGCAAAGGTTTTTGCCTTAATTTACACATGAGTTGAATGATATGATATATTTATTTATTTTCTATAATAAAAGCAATACATTTATATCTAATTAAGGTTGGTTGGTTGGTTAAACTCTTTGAATTGATCATTCTGATCATTAAGAAGATCATTCTGATCAATTCAGAGAATTTAAACATCCTTTTGGCAACTAAAATGAAAATTGAAAAGTCATTTGACAGCTGATTAGTTCAGAAGTTTCAGAAATCGGGCGTAAGAAAAGGGTATTGAGTACACTATTGCTCCCAAACTAAGCTGTGCCTGTATCTTGGAAGCCGGAGTTCGCTTCATATAAAACATAACAAATGCGATTAGATGGACGGTACTCTGTACAAGTTGTATTAAGAACCAGCTGTGCCCGCGACTTCGTCAGCGTGGAATTTAAGTTACTCATTATTACATCAGCTATCGATGATTGGACCGATTTGGACGTGACTTTCACTGACAAGTCACGTCCAAATAGGTCCAGTCGTTTCAGAGATAAGCCGGAACAAACAGAAAGACAGACAAAATTTTAAATAAATGTTATTTTGGTATATATACTGTGTATACATCCATAAGCATTTAGTAAAAAGCGGTTATTTTTATAATACAAACAGACACTCCAATTTTATTTATTTGTATAGATGAATAGCTGTATTGTTAATAAAAAACATAGGCAAGAGAGCACGAAGTATTTCCGTGTGTGTGTTTTGCAGATGTTTCGTATAACTTAAGAATATTTTCAGTTTCCTTGTAATCAAGTGAGTGCAACGACATTTTTAGACGCTTCCTACAAGAGTATGTACTGAGATCTGCGATGTCGCAATCATTGCTTTAGCACATTACTGTACACAAAACATGGAGAAATGATAGACAGCGCTGACCGAAAAGAGAGTTGGTCGGCGGTAAGGAATTCTATAGGTACGTTTTGATACAATAGACTGATCTCTCTAATTTCACTCCCTTATGTACTAGTAAGGATGCTTTTGTTTTGCCGTACCCTGAGAACTGGAAATTCACTGTAAAGTTGGTTAGTGGGGTAATCAAAAGGTTTTCTTAATGTGACTTTTAAGATTGCCCTTTGTGCTCTTTCCAGTTCCAAAACAGTTATTTTGCCAGCTCATCCCCACACTGCGATTCCATGTTCAAGGACCGATTGACAGAGTCAGTGGTATGCGCAGGACATTTTTGGTACATTTTTGGTTTCGCGGTGTTCTGGGGGTTTGGATATTGCTGTTTTGTATAAGGGTAGTCTCATCAATTTATTTGCATTCAGGGTAAATAGGTTGGTGTTAAGACTGTGATGGAGTTCTTGTAGACCTGTTTCAGCGAGTTTGTAAACCTCTTGCCACGTTTTGCCGTGGACAACGATAACAGTGTAATCAGCATAAAATATTAATTCTGCATTTTGTAGAGGCAGTTGCAGTATATCTTTGTAGATCATAAATAGTGTCGGTCCGAGTATACTACCCTGTGGCACACCACAATCACTGGGAAGCACGCTACTAGTGTAACCATTTTACGGCTTGTCTATTGTTGGATTAATGACTTTTGAACCAGTCCAGTGGGATATCTTTTACGTCGGATGCCTCTCCAGTGCATTTATTTTTCCTAAATCCATATAGCCTATCGGATATCAGCCTATAAAATTCTAGGAACATCGATAGGCGGATGTAAACTGTCTTTTCTTGTAACTTCAATATGATATTTAGAAGTGCGATTGGGTGAAAGTTACTAGGGGAATTGGCGGCACCGCACCACACTATTTCTTTTTCATTGCTAGGATTTAAGAAAAAAGATTGGTGGTTGTAGTATTTTGGTTTGTATTTTTTTGTTCATGTTTCTTGGGTTTTTGATAAATTATTTAGGATCTTGTTCGCAAGTTTCCTGCCAAGAGAGTTGAAGTAAGTGTTACATACATTTAGGGATTTTTCGGGATTGTTAATATCAATTAGCAATTTCGCCGCGTCTTCGTTATGTTTTAGTGCATACATCTCATAGTACAGTGAAGTATATTTCAGCGAAAATGTTGATCTTATAAAGAGTGTTTAAATAAAAATACAGGGAATTTAATTTTACAAACAATTCTTAAAACGACCAATATTTTAACCGTAATTCCAAAAGTAAGAATGGGATTAATTTTCTTTGCATTATATTAATTATGTCTATTGAATGCGTTTCGACAGACACTTTTTATCTTTACTCTCCACTGTTCAACTCATCATTCTAAGCAATGAAAAACCGTACTATCTAATCCGGTTTTTCATTACTAAGAATGTTTTTTGTTGTTTCGTAAGTCAATAAGTCAACAAATAAATATGATTCAGTACTCCGGACCCTTTATTTTTATATGTTTATTTTTATTAAACCAAAAATAACAAGAAATGAAATATAGGAAAAAATATATGAAGGCAAAACATCCTTAAATTAAAAATCTTTTTCTCCCAGGAGAACGCTTGCCATAAAGAAATATTTCCCCTAGGTTTCTGCATTGGCGACGACCTTTATAAAGATGTGACGGGTAAGCACTTCGTGTGCATTTCGGGATTTACTTCAATTCTCCATTTACCGAAGCGGTCGGCGGCGCTTTGGAGACGAGTAGTGAGTTGATTAAGATTTTATCTGTGTAAAAGAGGGCCGTGTCATCCGCGAAAAGCGCGAGATTGACGTGGGGGTCTTTTGGTATATCGCTCGTGTAGAGCGTAAAAAGTAAGGGTGAGAGGCAGGAGCCTTATGGAACGCCAGCCGTGAGGCGGCGGCATGAGAGTTGAGAGAGACTTGAGAGGGCGCCCTCAACTCGACAACGAAAGGAGCGGTTCGACAGGAAGACCCGAATGGTGTGTACGAGCCTGTCTGGCACTAGCTTGGAGTGCGAACAGCTTGTAAATCAAGCCATTGTGCCATACTTTAAAAATAAAACCCCTAAACAAATACCAACGCGTATGTTTAATCCCTAACTTTGGAGGGAGAGCTCATAACTTAGCAACCCTGCTTCTCCATTACTTAATACAGATGCACTATGAGTGTTACTATATTAAAACGCGATGTTTCTTTCTTGAATCTTGACGAAAATGATTTAAGTTGGAAATTGTTGTAATGTTATAATTGTTCACAACATAACAAATAACTTCATTGAATAAAAAAAAATATTTCTTAATTATAATTATCGTGATGATGATAAATTTAAGGCTTTAAAAAAATTTAAAAATCTAGATTTATTAATGTAAAATGTTTAATTTATCTGAAATAATTGTTAAACATGTCTTGAAAAGTAGTTTATAGCGAAAGAAGAAAGTTTAAAGCACTTGCTATGCTTTAGGTAATAATCATTACGAAAACGAAAAAGAGACGGTCAGGATGATAAAGTATTATGGACACTCTGTATATCTTCATAGAGCATATTTTTCTATAACGTAATAATTACAAACATATACATAATTAATACTGTTATCAACTTGTTATCTTACTTATTTTCGCACAGCACAGATATTAATTTTAATTGTATTTAAGAGGTTTGTAGCTAAGCCACCTACTCCTTTTTGGCAGCCATATAATTGTTTTTATTTATTGTAAATTGTAAAACTTGGAATAAAGTCCAAGATATTACTTATATTTAATTAACAATTATTTAATCAAGTAAAATTATCACGATAGAAAAAAACGTGAACCATTTTATTAATGATAAATTTTTATCACAAGTGTGAAAATTAATAATTTATTTTGATAAGAACCTAATCGCTTTTCGTAACAGTATTTTTAAAGTGCTTTATCACTATTTGAGCATTAAGTTAAATAGTCATTACTACAGTGATTTTTCTAGTTAAGCGTTATCCTATTAGTTTGTTACGAATGTTATTCTAATTCTTGATATTGATTTTAGATATTACAAAGAAGTAAAGTTAAACCCGCAAAACTATCATTCCAAAATGCCACCAATCCAAGGAAAATATCAACATTACAAGAACGAAAATATTGATGACTATTTTAGTGCAGTAGGTGAGTATTTTTGCCCAGTACAGTTTCTTTGTAGTTGAAGCTTTTACAATTTTTTAATTTTTTTAAAGGTGTACCATTCATGGGCCGAAAAATGATGTCAATGTCCTCACCTTTAATGGAGATAAATGTTGATGGAGAGCAAATGACTATAAAAAATTCGTCCTTACTAAGAACGGTAGAATATACATTTAAAATTGGTGAAGAATACGAGGAGAAAATGCCTAATACTTCAATTAAGGTATGGTTATAATATAAAAATTAGCAGAGTAAATAATGAGTACCTGCTCAGTTGTAATTTGATTAATTGAAAATCAAAATGTAGGCAGACAATATGAATGGCTTGATTCAATTTGAAATCTGTAGTCAAAATTATTTTGCTGGAATAAATCTTGTCCTAAATAAAATAGTGACAAAATGTTTAATGATTAACTTTATTTTTGACATCTATTTATTTCTAGAGTATAACAACAATTGAAAATGATAATGAAGTAGTCACAAACTCTATTATACCCCAAACCCAAGAAAAATGTGGGCGCCATTATTTATTCACAGATGATGAATGTATTGTGGTGAGTATGATTACTAATTTTGGTAACATTTTCAAAATGTTAAATTAATAATTTGAGACTAGCACATTATGGATTTTGTAATATTGGGTTGTATTCATGTAAATATAAAAATTAGTAATATATTTATTTTGTATCATACATCATGGTGTTACAACTGCGACCATTAATGAACACATTTCTATCATAAAAAATATAAATGTTAAACAAAATCCATATTTAAAAAAAAATTTTTTCAAACTATTTAAATAAAAATGAAACAAAATTTGTAACAGCCTATATAACTACAATTGACTGATTCACACATTCAAAACACTTTTTGATTGAGTCATATGTTCAGAGACTTTTTAAGTCTCTCCTACTAACAGCAAGTTTTATCTCTTTTAAATTCATTCAACCAATTCATATGCTTTGTGACCTTTACAAATGAACTTTATGTTACAGTTTTATTAGCCAGTGTTCTAAATTATTTGTTTTGTATAGTTTAATCACTTGGCAAATATTGATGTTTAAAGCAATTTAATGTTTAATACAATTTTAAAAAGTTATCTTCTGTATGTTTGTGTATTTATGGTTGCGGTAGTTGCGCCACATTGTATATGTACTTTTTTCACTTCCAGTAAGAAAGATATTTTTTAAATATACATTATGCTGAGCACTGGTTTCTAATGCAGTTTTAAATATTCCAGCTACAGATAGATATGGTTACCGGAGATAGAATTTTGGCCTAAGTGTTATGGAGCTAAGGTCAAATACCTATCACTAGTAATGTAATCTACCTGGAGATAGAATATTGAAAAAGGACATTAGAAGCAAGATGAACTAAAACCTAACCCATTGTATACATTTAACTTCTTATTACTCTATCATGCTATTTCTAAGATTTTAGTCGATGTATAAAATACAATAAGTTTTTAAATATGTAAGTTCAACAACCTAATGTGATAACAAATCACACATTATGTTTTTTACAGACACTTACTCATGAAAAGGCAAAAACTCCTGGAAAACGTTACTTTCGCAGACTAAAAGAATAATCAACAAAGCTGCTCTTGAGATAGCTACAGTATCATATTTTTTAATTTAATTTTATTTAATTGAAAATGAGACCCAAGTTTGGTAAAGAGAATTTTTACTGAAATTTTTATTGTTTAAAAATTTATACATTTTTATACTTTACAGCTTAGCAATTTTTATTCATGAAATTTTTGTATGAAATAAATATTTTTATGTATTAATCTCCACATTTTAATATTATTATTATTATTTTTATTATTATTATTATTATTTATTATTCTGATCACAGCGATAATTTAAGTGGAATATGAATTTAACTTTCAGAGAATTAGATATAACTCAAAAAAGTTTTCATGAATACAAGTTTTTTACGCTGAAGTGTTAAATATAAGGTATTATATTAGTTGAATAATCACGTACACATGTGATTTTATTACATGGTGTCATATTTTTGATCTTCTTTTGTAAAGTAAAGTAACAGCCTATACATGTCCCACTGCTGGGCAAAGGCCTCTATACAAAGGGTATCAGGGCATAGTCCGCCACGCGGCCCCACTGCGGATTGGCGGACTTCACATATTTTCTAAATATATTGTTATGAACACACACGAAGGAACTAACGCCATCTAGCGTCAACTATTAAAACCACTAAAGAACAAAGACGACATAAAACCCCCTATTCAACACTAGATGGCGTTAGACGAACTGCTGTGGAACTATAGTCTCGAAAACCGGGTACATTCGCGAACTTTCCGGAATCACGAACATGTTCGGGCGTGTCGGGTACGTTCCAGGAAGGATCTTTCTGGATTAGTCCGGAACCGGTCTCGGCCCATATAAAAAGCCGCAGGGAGGCGAGCGATGACAGTTCAGTTTGAGCTACCTTCGAGGCGACTTCGGAGTGAAAACACTATTGGTGCCGGCACCGGGGATCGAACTCAGATTACTCGACTAAATTGAATTAAAGGCGAGCGCCCGGAGCACTGAGCTATCACGGCTCTGATGTTTTAAAAATATATCCAAATTGATATAAATTCGATAGTTTAAAATAAATGTCAAATATCGGTATATTGCGATAAAATATATAATAATAATAATAACAGCCACAGGTGTTAAACAGCCATTTGTCAGGCGTGAACAAGACGCGCGCATTTAACGACTGGGTCATGCCAGTCCTCATATATACTTTTGGCATACTCAGGTGGACTCAAACTGAGCTCAACGCCCTGGACCGAAAAGTCCGCACAACTATGACGTCCCACAGGATGCATCATCCGAGATCGTCAGTGATGAGGCTGTACCTGCCCCGGAAGCATGGCGGGAGGGGCTTTTTAAGCGCCCTCACCATGCACGATCGCGAGGTGTGCAGCCTCCGCAACTACTTTCTGGCGAAATCGGATGAGTCAATCTGTACGGACGTCATTAGTTGTGATAAAGGACTTACCTCTTTATCCTTAGCCAACGAGCAATGGCAGGACCCGGGAGTGCTGAGCGTTTTCGACCGGGAGGCCGTATGGAAGGAGAAAGGTCTCCACGGGAGGTTCTACAAAACTCTACACGAGCCTTTTGTAGATACTCTTGCCTCCCTTAACTGGCTACGTTTCGGTGACCTCTTTGTGGAAACCGAAGGTTTTGTCTGTGCGATACAGGATCAGGTTATTAAGACGAACAACTATCGGAAATACATCCTAAGGGATGGCACCGTCGACATCTGTCGAGCTTGTCGCCATCCCGGGGAGTCGCTTCGGCGTGTTATTTCCGGTTGTTCCATGCTTTCTAACTCTGAGTATCTGCATAGACACAACCTAGTAGCCAGAATCCTACACCAGGAGCTCGCTCTGAAATACGGCCTCGTGGATCGAAAACTGCCGTACTACAAGTACTCTCCGGAGGCCGTGCTCGAAAATGACCGCGCCAGGCTCTATTGGGACCGGCCCATCATCACGGACAGGACGATTGTCGCGAACAAACCTGACATCGTGGTGATGGACCGGGCACAGTCGCGGGTATGTTTGGTCGACATTACCATTCCATATGACGAGAACCTCGTGAAAGCCGAAACAGGTAAGAAGACAAAGTATCTGGACCTGGCTCACGAGGTGACCGACATGTGGGGTGGTGTGCCGACTGAAATTATCCCGATAGTCGTGTCTGCGAATGGGTTAGTCAGCTTCTCCGAACATCTGAGGCGACTGGGACTCCGGGATGGAACGCTCCAAGCTCAAATGCAGAAGGCGGTGCTCCTCGATACCGCCCGCATCGTCCGCCGGTTTCTCTCCCTCTCACCCTAACCCTCAGCCGTTTGGTCTCCCCTGCCGAGGGCTTCCGTCTGGTTGGGTCCTATTTATTTATGTATTATATATAATATTTATATCTATATGTTTATTTTTATTCATAATATTTATTTTATATATGCAATATATATTTATATGTTTATTTTTTATCTATAAACCCAACCAGACGAGAAAACAAATAAATATCCCCAACATAATAATACTTTATATGCCATAACCCAAAAAATAGAAAATTACATAGAAAAATATGAAAAAATATATAAAACAAACTATGATACACAAAAAAACTATATAAATAACATTTTGGCAAAAAGGTAATAAGCTCAGCGATTTCTGAGAATTTCTCAGTGCTGATTTTCAGCTTATCCCTTAGTAAAGCTTTACATCATCATGTGTATTAGCGGTAGTTGGCATAATTTGTTCAAGTTGTATTTGATAATGTAATGTAATAACGATAATAACACAAATTAAGAAGACTCAAAAGAATATTTAGACAAGAGAACAAAAAAAATCAAATCGAATACAGTGAAAAATACGATGTGAAATAAAATTTTTTTTTTCAATTAAATTTAAAAATTTCATCCAATATAAATATCGATATAAATATTTTTTGTCCATGGCGCATGCCTAATTTCTTTCTTCTAGATTTTCGTTTGCTCTGATTTCAGATATATAAAAGTACTCTTTGGTTTCGCTATTTACCATTTCATAAGCAATCCACGCTTACCATAAAATTCCATGTTTATATATTAGTACAGTATATAATACCACCTATTTGTACTTTTCACTGCTTACATTTCAAGCGGAATTTTTTTAAACATTATTTTGTATTGTTAATGTTCACAAACTTTAACACCTTAGCAGATTAAAACCAAGAGAAAGATGTCTCAGGATCAGGTACATCTATATTAATTTTTAAAGTAAGAAGAATTTGAGAGATTGTATGTCTGTAATTTTCGTTACAGTTAGGAATAACTAAAAAAGGTATTTCTGGAATACTAGCTAAGAGTTATTAAAATTTGCATGTTTATGATCCTACCTACATAATTATTGCGTCAAAGTTACTTTCGCTTGTAAAATAATGTTTAAATTTTTTATAAATATTTCTTTATAGGAACAGCAAGTGAAAAACTTAAAACGAGTTTTAGAAGGTTGGCGTATGGCTCTTCTTCCCTTAAAGTCTGTCTTTTTATGGGAACAGCAATGGCATCCATGCGTTATAATTGCAGCTATTACAATGATTTATTTATTCATTTGGTTGTTGGACCTGAATTTCCTTGCAACATTTGCTATAATGGGTTTATTTATTAACTTCATTGATTTTATGGTGCCAATTATATGTAATTCCATTTATAGCCCTAGCTCTTGGACTGGGCAAAAAGAAAAAATGTTTGAAGATATCTGTAGAAACCTTGTATGTCATTACAACAATATGTTGCAAAACATTTACAGTTTTTATTCTTTGAGGGAGAATAGCCCATGCATGGTAAGATGTTTAAAATAAACTTTATTAACCAGCGTTAATTCATTTCTGTTCTATTGCAATAAGCATATTTGTTAATTATGCTATTTATTTCATGTTATGTAAAATCTAATAAGAATATTTTCTTTTCAGTATTATATTATTTCCATCAGCATGTCATGTACACTAGCATGGATGGCATCATCAATTAACAATGTATTTTTGCTGTACATAGTCTCCATAATTATGTTGTTGTGGCCAGGCATTCAACATCGTGGAATCTTTAACACACTGTTATCCATGATTCACATGGCACCAAAAGCACCATCCTTTAAATCAGATTAATCTATGTGTATTAATGGTTACATTATATTGTGATAAGCATCTGGTCATTATCCTTTTAAGTTTAAGCTTAGCATATGCATTGTGAGCTTTAATTATTTAATTAAATTTAAAGATAGTGTTTAATGATTGCTTTGTCTACAACACTTGAAAGTTTTAGGAAATATTAACTGAATTTTCATTACCTTTTAGAGTTATATAAAAGCAGGTATATAGATAATAATGCTCAATAATGGAGTATGACTAAAATAATCTTCATATTTTATTTCAAATGACAACATTTTTTCCTGAACATTTGGAAGGATCTGGATTTAATTTTTATAAAATTAGAACAAGTTAAGCAAAGCTTTAGGCTGTGTATCCTCTCTATTGTGATGTTTGCTTGCATTACATGTTAATGCTTGTTGATCATTAGAAATAACTATTGATATTAAATTTGCACTGCAATAATTGTTTTTATTTGATGTTCTTTTAGTATTAAACTATTATTACAATTGAGTTCATAATCCTGTTAACTTCATTGTAATTAAACAAAATCCTTACATAGAAGGAAAAAATAGTATGTATATAAGATTTATTTCTCAGAAGTATAAGTTGCTCCAGTGCTGGTTTGTGACAAAACTCATAGTTCCAAATTCATTTATTGATTTTTTTTGGATTATTCTACAATGTCTGGAATTTTCTTTCGTTTTATGGCAGTTTTCATTGAATATGCCAATGAAAACTGCTAATTTGGACACACTGTTAATATGGTACAACATAGTTAAACTAAATTAATGTTATAGTCACTCTGCATGACTTTGCAGAGTAATTATACAGGGATTTATTTAAAAACTTTTATCTTGATAGTATCTATTGACTCTTCTAAAACGAAAGGACAAAGGAAGACACTGGGTGTTCATCATTCATTCAATCCAGATTTATTAGGTTAAGAGTTCATAAAGATAAACAATTATACCCTAATATTAGTTAAGGTAATAAAATCACACAAAACATAACAAGGGTGTGAAGGTTAAAAGACAAAATTTATAGGACAAGGAATATTCCTCATCCCATAAATTTTCATTGTCTATAGAGGAAGTTTCGAAAGTCCTATAGGAAGGAAGCAAATCATAGAGCAAAGAACTTTGGGCACTTAATGAATATATGATTGGTGGAACCATTTTCTTATCTACATTCGCAAAGAGAATTATCCCTGATCCTTAATTTAGCATGGTGGATATGGGTGGAAGCATGGCCAATTCTGAACCGGCACACAATTAGCGTTAATTAACAAAAGCGTTATTGCTTGCCTTTATTAAATTTGAAAAACCATTTCTGGAACGTTATGGTGCAAGATTACCATTGCTAAGACAGCGATAACGCTTGTCACTTTTTGTTTCAGATAGAAAAAAAAAAGCAAAGTAACAGCCTATACATGTCCCACTGCTGGTCAAAGGCCTCCTCCAGAGGGCAGGGCATAGTCCACCACGCGGCCCCACTGCGGATTGGCGGACTTCACATGTCTTCGAAAAATATTTTTTTTTGTTATTATTTCGAAAATATGCAGGTTTCCTCACGATGTTTTCCTTCACTGCGAAGCACTTAAAGTTAAAAACTTCATTGGTGCCGGCACCGGGGATCGAACATCGATCGATCGATCGTCTCTAGATAGTGATGACGTATTTCCCATTATTAAAAGCCACTCAGATTTTTAATGTATAATAAAAATACCTGTAGTCAAGTCACTAGTTCAGCTATTGAAGTTTTGGGTTCAGTTAGTCTATTTTAAATCATCAAAATTGTAAGAATTGCAAGCATTTGTGCAAAAATTACGGCACCTCAAAAGACTGCAACCCTTGAGGCAAACCGCATTTAAACATTCAGAGGATATTTCTTGGTGCATACCTACAATTTAGACTTGTATGGCAACCTGTCTTTGACTATATTTATCTAATTGATATGGTAAGGTAACGGTAATAAATAAAACAATTATGAATTGGGATATACCATTCTATATGTATTAGAAATTCTTACTTTTACATAATTAGTAAAACTCACTGTATACAATGTAAAAAATGATTATAATACAAACAATTGCATTTAAATTTATGTATTAATCGACATTCAAATAAATGTAGCATTTGTTCTACACAAGAAAAGCCTCTGTAGGATCAGCACGACGTTCACAATCTGAAAATATTATATCACCATTAACATATCTCATTACACTTTGAACCTTGTACAACAATTACAATACCTATTCTCCCCAAAACGAGATTACTATTCGCTGAAATCAGATGAGAAACTGTCAGTATAAGTATGTTAAATAAAAGCTTTGTGGATTATTATATTAGCAGCTATTGCTACAAATAGTTCACATAATTTTCAATACTGTGCATAGAAAAGAATCGCTCTATATCAAACTTCCGCAAAAAAAATTGCTTAGTAGGTTAGTAGAAGTTTTCTTATAGGTCATTTAGATATCACTGATCTTGAAGCCAGGCTTCACTTTACAGTTTTTGGCCCTTGTTACTACCGGTACGGCGTCTATGTCACCTGCTAATTTGCTATTCGACTTACTCTCGCTCGATGTGCTCGCCCGGAACTGATCCTCGTCCACTAGAGTCGTAGTGAACCTACTAGGGGCCGCGGACGGGTTGGGGTTACGGTTGCACTTCTGCGCACTGCTATCGCTATACCTTCTGCTGCCGTTGTTCAGTGTTTCGCTTCTCGCGACCTTAGAACTGCCCTCCTTGGCTTGCAGGTTCAGCGGGTCGAGGTTGCCCCACTGCGGCGACCTTTCGCCCTTGACGCACTTGTTCCTCACTTCGTTCTCGTTGTTGTAATTCTTGCTGCTGGAGGGCATGTCCTTGTAGAAGTTCTCTTTGGTCTGCTGTAAACTGAGCCCGTAGAGGTCAGCGGACGAGCCAGTCGGGCCTTGGCAGCTGCTCGATGCGGCTTGGCAGCTGTCCAGTTTCATGGTGATTGCCGACGACTCTGGCGTCAGATCGTTTCTTATAACTCTCATTGGAGACGAGCATGGGTCCATTGATAGTGTGTCCTCGTCGTCCTCTCCCTCCGCACTCTGAACAGGAAACTATAATGTAACTAACCTGTTATTTTTATGTGGAAAACCATTTCAATAACATCTTGAAACATTCATAGGGTAAACGAAAGCAGTTAAGCTAAATCTTGCAACGTCTGCTTGGCTTCTTGTCTGTTTTATTGATAGATCGTGGGTTTTCTGGTTTTAAACTAATTACAAGCCTTAACGATCATAACGTTTAATCCAAAACGCGAATTATATATATTATATTGTCACAAATTCATCAGAGTCGTCAAGATCTTCTATAATGCTTTTTTTTATAGTCAACTTGTAGTTTTACGCTAAAGGAAACCCGAAGTAGAAGTGTTTAAACTTTTGTGCTTTTTATGATGATATTTTTACTGTGATAAGCCCATGAAGCAGTTTCTGCATAAACGGGCAAGCTCGTCGAAGGAATCATCAGCGTGAAATGGATTTATTATACTTTTACGTTTAGTCTGATGAATGAGGTAATTAAAAAAATTAAAGCCAGCAACATATTTGCAATTGTTCACGTGACGTAGTTTTTCTTGGGCTGCGGTAATCACTTTAACATCAGTTGAATCGCTTGCTCGCCTTCAATCTGTTCACATAAAAATAGATGAGGAGGCGAGCCTCTTAAAACTTCTCAGCGCCTTTACAACCCCACTGACCGGTGATTATCTACCATCAGCTGATTATCTTGTTCGTTTATCGTTTATGACTTAAAAATACCCTCTTCTCCCCTTTCCTTGTCTCCCACCCTAAAAATCCTAGGGTCCTTGGGTAGCGCCAAGCCCTCCAAGAGTGCTAATAAACGTCCAGGGTCGAGGCTTCCCGATGTTCGTCGAATCCCCCCACTAAATGTCTCACCAGCAGCTCGTGGTCGGTGCCGGAGCCGGCCGTCGCTTCGTTGCTGTTGAACTCGAGCTCCGAGGCGGCGGACACGGGCGTCACGTCGCCGCTAATACACGAACCTGGCGGCGATTTGCGGCCCATTGTATTCACCGCCACCATAGCTCCGATAATAACTAACCTAACCGACATCGACCAACGGGGTGTAAAATGGAAACGAAAAACCAACAACATTCATTCACCAAGCATTGTGCGTGCTGAAGTCGCGCGACACTAGACGCTTCGACGCTTTATGATGTTGCATGCATTTCTAAGTACTATCACATGCTGATAGTTCCCAATCCTCTCTGGTGGGACGGATGTGGGTGTTATAACACTTCTTGTGATTATATTAACAAACAAACGAGCAATTGTTGCCGAGTAAAACTACCTATAAGCGACGATATTGTGCAACGTGTGTACGGTAGGTATTATATATATATATCTTTACAAAAGACTTCACCCGTGAATTTACATTCAGACTACGGTCGTTATAACAGACGGTTGTCAGAGACAGTCATAGTGTCAAAACATGTGTGTTTAAATATGGTAAATCTGTTCCGTCTGCATCAAGAAATTAGGTCGTTTACGAGAAACTTTGTAATAAAAAAACTATCAGAAAGAATTTACAATTAGAGAAATCAAATGGAAATCAATTGTTACGCTGAATAGTTATAGAGAGAACCTGGCCGAAAAGAGGGCAAAATGGGGGGTTGGGGTTGGGGGGGGGGGGGGGGGGGCAGAATAAACTCTAAGCTGTCCTTCAGAGTACGTAGTATACCTGCCACGTTGCTGTGCAGCATGAATGGGTGCAGGGTCGCGTCGTAAGCGCACAACGTCGCCGCCTCACCGTCCCACTGGGGGAGTTTGCTCGGCACATTTCTACTCCAATTGCTACTGGAATCCACAACAGTTTAATGCACCGGCTACCTTCGGCCTCTGCCATCCGATCCGCCTCCCGCGTTCACAGGAATCTGCTTTCGCCATATACGAGCGAACAATGCGACCGCAAGTCCCTTCGTATGTACAGTTCCAAGTGACGTTGAATGTATACAGAGTGGCGTTACAACCGCGACAATAAATGAACACACGTCTAACGCTACTTGTCAATTAAATCCATAATTATTATTTTTTTTCAAACAAACTAATTACATAAAAAAGAAACAACATTTGTAACACCTATATAAGACCCTATATAGAAAATTTAATAACTCTGTAAATATTCATGCTTAAAGAATGAAAATGTTTAATATAATTTAAAAAAATATCATCTATATGTGTGTTGATTTATGGTCGCGTTAGTATCGCCACGTTGTAAATGCATGTGTCAGATGACAGTAGCCGATGAATAAAACATAAAGTTTTAATTAATGGCACACCAACTTAAAACTTAAGTAAATAAGCGATAAGTGATCCTTGCCGTTTAATTTAAAATTTGTTACATTTGAACAAGTTGTAAATGTCTTCAAGTGCCTCGTACGTGAAATGAAATTACTCTTAATTTCTAGTCCAAGAAAAACTAAGCAATATTAAAATCATGAAGAGACATTTTCCCACTCACATTTTTTAAATTATATAGTAAGTACGTACATATTTGAACATACTAGAGTGCTATTGACACGTTAGGTTCTAAGAATTTCAAGGCACTCGCAGAATCCACAACTTGTTGTTAATAATCCATATTAGTAAAATTCCATTCATAATCAGTACAAAAAAATCAATAAATTAGCCCATGGAATAATTTAGGAATGTCTCATAAGATTGTTATTAAAGTTTTTGTTATAAACGGAACCTCCTTTAAAAACAAATATTTAAATAATTTAATGTAAATGGTTGATACTGCCTTAGAAAATAAGTGAACAAGGAAAGCATTTGAATTAAAATTTACAACGGTTTGTGTTTTGTTATACATTGTAATAAATGAAAGTGTTATACTAAAGTAGCTTCAGGTATTTTTATATTTACTTTTACGAGTAACTTTCAATGTGGTTGGAAAATTAAATTTTTTATCCAATATGACCAAATTTCGAAAACCTACAATTTATTTATTACTTTAACAACCGCACGCCGAGTCGTCAATTAGCACTTACTGGCATTAAATGGCTTCAATTGTGGAGTTAGCGCTTGCATACTTGTTAGTTAGTTTCCAACTGTGAAGTATTAACATATAATACGAGTGTAGCACTAGTGGACGTCTCTGAGCGTGCTATAAAAGCACGCATGCATGCTTCAAAAATATATCTGAATGTACTTACCGCTCGCGAGTAAAATATTTACGTGATTTATAATTAATTAAATTTTTTTGATTTATAATACAATTTTTTTTATAATTAGAATTAATTTTTCATTTTGCAACGACGAATAATATAATTACTCAGACAGCTGCCCATTATGGAAACAAATATCGTATAGGTTATTGCATTATCCGTTGTTGATCAGTTAGGTGGTGATCGCGTAGATGAAACCTAGCTAGTTTCACGTGGCGCCGAACCAAGCGGGCTAGTTTCGAGTGGCGACGAATCTCACTGGCCAGTTTCATGTGGCGGTGAAACAAGCGAGCTAGTTTCATTCATGTGGCGGCGAAACAAGCGAGCTTGTTTCACGTGGCGGCGGGATAAGGGAGCTAGTTTCACGTGGTGGCGGGACAAGCAAGCTAGTTTCACGTGGCGGCGGGACAAGGGAGCGTGTTTCACCTGTCGGCGAGGCGGGCGGGGTCGGCGTGCGCTGAGGTGGGCGACGAGGCCCCGCTGACGACACGCTGCTCGGCAGCTCGCCAGAAGACGACATGAGCGAAGAGGGCCCGCTCCATGCGGCGCCTGCTCGGCAAATGCGACTGAAAAGTTAGCGCTGAGGACCTTCTATAGTGGTGTAGGGTGAGATAAATGTTTTGAGACGAGGATTATAAAAATGTTATATCATATATTTCAAAAGAATACTGTAATAGCTGTGGTAGGGCCACTCAAGTCTTCACTATAGCACGACCACCCACTTCTACCGCACAGAAGACCGGCGTGTATAAGAAGTTTTATACCACGTTTAAAATTATTTCTACGTTTCGTCTGGTGAGTTAGGTAGCCGGGGCCCACTTACTAAAAGGTGTTACAAATGTCCATGGGCGGCGGTTATGACTTAATAACAGCTAAACCACCAGATCGCTTGACACCTTCTCGAATAAAAAGAAAGGGAATGAGTAAATAACGGTTCTTTATTGCTCTAGTGTGTGCGTGTATGTGTGTCTGTGTGTAACGTGCACTGTTGTATAATATGTTCGTCAACGCACTGTTAGTGGGCGATTGGCGCTTGGTGGTGGCGACGGCGCAGTTGTTGGCGGGCGGCGTGCCCAGCAGCACCGGCGCTGCGGTCACGCGCTCTAGGAACGCGTCCAGCTGCCGAAGCGACAGCGCGTTGTGAAGCGTCTCGAGTGGACGGATAGCAGGCACGCCGCCGAACCCCTCCAGCGCTGCTGCGTACCGTACACGGGCACCCTTTTAGTTCGCCGGACACTGCTGACTCGATGATTTCACTTAGTCTGCGCTACGCAGCAGTGTTCGCTGTTGCATGAATGTGCAGGTCCGTCAGGGGATGTACCAAGACCTCACAGAAGGCCGGCGTGAAGTGGAAGTTTTACGCTTTCTGCGTTTCGTCTTGTGAGTTTGGTAGCCTTGGCCAGATGTATTAAAAGGTGGCAAACCCTACGTGTATTGTAAATGTCCGTGGGCGGCGGTTATCACTTAACATGAACCGCCGGCTCACTTGCCCCCATCTCGAATAAAAAAAAATCAATCAATTCGTCGCAATTCGTTCGTGTTTTCAAACTGCCAACAAAAGTTGTGCATTTAGTCCGGGGACTATGCTTTATAAATTACTACAAGTAAAAACTGGCTTTAGCCTTTGGATGCACCTTTATCTTATAGAGTCACGCATGTTAACATGCGGCCATGGGATGTATTATGGTGACATGTTCGGCAACGGTTGGCAGTCCAATAAATTCTGTAATCTAACGGTGACTCTCGAACACTATCGATTGCAATTTTAAACGATATCTGCGCAGTGTGAGCAGTCTTAAAGATCGAGTGTTTCTGCATTTTTGTTTCGCCGTGCTCGCAGTCCGGCGAGCACTGCATTGTGTTGGGCACTACGTATAACTATGTTCGAATTCGGTCGACCAGTGTTTAAGGCTAGTTAACGCCTATTTTGATCATCTTTAACTAGGATCATAATTGCTGTTGTTTTTATTACTTTTTATATTTTTATATACCGTAAGAGTATTTGATAATCATTTAAGTCGTTTTCGTCAGATTCAATTAAATATACTCTGAGCTGATTGTAAGCTATTGTGCCCGTGTCACTTAGTCTTCTCTTACAATTACACATGGGATGAACTGAGCTAAGGTAACTAAAATTATTGATATCTAGTGACAGTGACATTTAAAAGCAATTAGTCAACATTTTTTAGTTGGGCGTTGAAAAGGATATAATTCGAAATAGCCCCATCGACTTAAAGTGGCTTGTACAAGGGTTAAAACATGAAATGCAACAACATCCATTCCAAACAAACTCAAATTTTGAAACTAGGTAATAAAACTAGTTATTTTTTCTTTGCAATCAAAACAAGTCAACTCAAAATTTATTCACATCAAACATAGATTCATGTAAAAATCAATCTAAACTATTACTCTATAAAAGATAAAGAACAACACCTAATTTATCTAGGGCGGCTTTAATTACGCACTAAGTTTTGAATCCGCGTCTAAATTGACGTTTAACATAGACGTCAATTTGCCATAAACGCAACATTTAATATCTATACCACGGTAACATTCTAATAGTCTAGTAAATAGTAGTCCTTCCGGATTGGTAATAAAATCTGATGATGAGTTTTCCTATCGAATAAGTGGAGAACGTCGAAGGCGACATCACCGACCTATGGGCTGTTTTCTTCAACACTTCCAGCCACGGTGTTGTGAGACTGATCTAATCCAGTCGAGCCCCATAGGCATTCGTTTCATCTTGTATCTTGTATTATCTGATGTGCTTCATCTGACGCAGAACCGGTGGGCTAGCCAGAACCCACGGGTTTAAGCCCTCCGATGTGGGTAGGGCCGCGCGTGAGCTCATGCGTGCGTTTAACTTCATTTCATACATTCTTGCTCTAGAACACTTCCACGGTGTTCTGCCCCGGTCGAGCCATTCCCGCGTGCCTGGGGAAGGCGGACGCAAAGCGGTGCGACGCACAACTAGGGTTGCCAACCATACTGTATAATAACGTATCCTACTTTATTTTTGGCAAATATACTTGATAATTTTGCATAAGAATAAAGTATGTGAATATAGTCTATTTTCGGACAGATTTTCATTATTCTAAAATACTCCATTTAAGGAAATCGGCCAGTGCTCCAAGCACACAAAATTATGTGTTCTATATTGAAAATCTATTATGAAAATTCTTTTTATTACCACTATACTATTAAATTTAAAATACTGTTTTTTCCTCCTTTCACTAACTTTAAATACTTTATTGTTTCCCTACTCGAACAACGCGATACGTAATTTTTGTCAAATTGCTTTGGCGACCGTTGCAGTGGAACCGTGGGCGTTCCGTGCGCAGGCGGACTCACTGTTGGTGGCCGCGGCGGCCGGTATCATGACGCGCAGGTTGGGCGCCGAGCTCGAGCCGGAGATGACCGCCGTGCTGAAGAGGCCCGCCGCGCCGGCCGGCTTGCCGCGCGCGCCCAGCCCGAGCATCTTTAGGTAGCTCATCTGGCCGGCGATGCTGTGCCGCTGGCGCCGCCCTGCGCGCCACACGCTACAGCCGCACGGCCCGCCCCGCCCCTCGCACCGCCCCTCCGCCCGCCGCCCCTCGCCGCACCCCTCGAACGCGCATCCGACGGCGGGGGCGGGGGCGGGGGGGAGCGCGCCGCTGCAACACGCGCGCGCACCAATCGGCGCATTGGGGCGGGGGAGGGGGAAGGGGGGGGGGGTGTATGTTAATGTGCGCTCGTTACAGTCGCGCGGTCGTTAGATACGATCAGTGTGGGCGATGGAGAAAGAGGGGAAACACAATCAGCACACACGCACACGAGATGAACAAACGTACTGAACGCGTATAGATAGTTACGGAATGAAAAGAAAACGTGCTTCGAAGCGGCGTGCTGGAGTTGATTACGGCATGGAAGGGGGCTACGAAACGACCGGGGCGACGGCGCGCACGAGACGAGCGCCGTCGGCTCGTTCCTCCCGCGGCCGCTTGGACAGTTCTGTCGCAAATGGCCGCGGGAGGAGGGTTGCCACGTTGCGCCCTCGTCTCGCGCGCCCACCGTTGCCGGTGGCGGCAGGGCACACGCAACACACAAGATCGCCGGCCAGAATGAGCTGCCGCTACGGGCCACGCACTCGATGCGGACACGTCAAGCGGCGTGCGACATTACGGAGCGATCGCTCCACCAACGGATGCCAGCTGGAAACATTAGGCGGCCCCTTGCGTCGTATACCACACGCCGGAACAATGCGGAGCGATCGAGGGACGTGTACATATAAAACGCAAGGGGCCATTAGTAATATACACGTGGTCGCTACATGGTAAACATTTTCAAAGCAATCAATATCGACTTCCAAAAATTATTAAAGCTGGAAACATTTAGTGAATTCCCTTCTAGATAAACCTTCTAGAATAAATCTTAGTTTATTTTTTTATAGCTCGTCTTTTTCATTTTGATCGCTTCGAAAGAGAGTGGTCCAGTCTGACATGCTTATACCGCCGCAGTGGTGAAAATACGACACTGAGTCAGTCTTTCTTTATAATTAAATGAAACTGTACTTATTCTATTGTAATATTACAGACAGCTTTACAAATATGTATCTTTGTGTATCTAATCTTTCTTTATAAGCTGCAGCCTCGGACTGATGTTTTTGCTTCATAAAATACGCGTTAAACTTCAATATGAATTCATAATATCATGTGAGTTGTAATGCTTTTTATTCGGACTCAAACAAGCCCTGAACTTGTTTTTCTTTTTACTGCGTGTATAGCAGGCCAGACTTTGAATATGGTAGCGTCGCAAATTGCAGTAACATAGGAATATGAATAAGGTATATATGGTTATGACAAATGTTAAGTTCCCAAAGTTACCAATATTACCGCTCAATGAAAATATCATAATAACTATATATAGTTATTATGTCTCCGCAATTGAATGTACCAAAGTCTATAAAAACTGCATCCCAATTAGGTCAACCATGCATAAGTGAAGGAATGCCTGTCTACGATGCTAGGAATGCCTGATTTTTCAGAAAAATGCCTGTTTAAAATTTATAAAAAAACAGCTGCGGTATCCAACAAGATCATATTAAACTTCGAAATTGCGCGCAATTTTAAAATTCCTGTCTTTGATCAGCGCCCGCCATCAGACGTCAAAGTTCCTGCCAAATAAGGCAAATTTGCCTTTAGATGGTAACCCTAGTCTCAATTCAATGGTATGTATTTGTGTTTTATTTATACTATACTATTTCAACAAAGTAAAGGCTTTTCAATGTTTGCTAATAACATTTTCATGTTTTAGTATTATTTAACAGATCAATTTTTTAGAGCAGTAAACTTACTAGGTACAATTTTTTTTTCAATCTTCTTTTATTTTCCTAAAAACACGAAATACAATCCCACTATGATAGGTTGATATTTATAATTTTAAGGCTCTTCTCCTTCACGATTTACTGCAATTTACGTCAATTAGGAGTTCAATTGCAATGAATTCAACGCCAATAAACTAATAAATAAACAAAACATACAGGCACTATAGAACTAGAGAATGATTTCTAATAGTTTAGAACTATGCACTATTAAAGTGAAAGAGATCAGCGCACTGAAATCCGCTTATAATATGTATATAAGTTTATATCACTTTAACTTTTACTTTGGATCTTGAATAAATGGTTTTTTGTTCTTTTATATTTCTATTTTTTAAACATTCTTCCTTAGGTGTCACAAATCATTGTATCATTGTATTGAAAAATTAACACTATGGAAAATTATACGATCCTTTAATACATGAATTAATTCATAAATGCTATTAGTACTTTCACTCGGCGAGCTGTTAATAACACACGGTCCAATCAAACGTGAACTCACGATCGCACGGGGACTTACCATTGTCGTGGTTCTGCTTGTGCTGGTCGTAGCTACGGGCACGCGGCTGCGGCTCGTCGGAATCTTTCGATTCCTTTTCTTCGCTCTAAAAATTACAAAAAATATTGCGTGATCATATTTTATTTTTATGACATTATGAATTTATAATTTAGTTAAAACGAGATAGATATTCTCTCGTCTAGTATTATAAAATAATTGAATGCTGCGCGTCTGACGCGTTATGTTTTAGTTGAAATGTCCAATAAAACGCATGGTGAATACTTGCTTAAACTAATTTAAGCACGGAAGTTAAAAAAAATGTTGCTTTTTTCACTCTAAAAACGCATGCACCAGCGAAACTACACTTTTAATACGCAGCATTGCAATCGAAAAACTTAGCGCAAGAGAAGTAAACGAACATTGCGGGCCTTTGGTATTTTTTCACCATTTAAACCGACTTCAAAAAGAAGGAGGTTATAACGGCCTCAACTCTAACAAAATGTGCACATCAAAGAAAAGGTGAAAGGTAAGGTTACGGATGAAATGTGTAGGATTAAAGTTTGTCCTAATACTGCAACGCTTACAAGTCACCTTTAGCCCAATCTTGAATATTATCTTTGAAAACTGCCTCGACTCTAACAACAAGTACATTTTACTAACGAAAAACCGACTTCATACAGCGTGTCGTTACCATCGCGACAATAAATGAATACACGTCTAACACTACTTGCCAATAATCATAAAAAAATATTAACGTTAAACAAAATCCATAATAAAAAAAAAATTTTTTTCAAACAAACTAATTAAGTAAAACAGAAACAAAATTTGTAACATCCTATACAACTCGCGCCATAGCGTCGCATTACAAGCATCTCCTAACAGTATGTTTTGTCTCTTTTAAATTCATTCAACCCATTCATATGCTTTGTGACCTTTACAAATGAACATTACGTTACAGTTCTATACGTAAGTAAGGCTGTTCTAAAATTGTTTGTTTTGGAAAATTTAATAACTCTGTAAATATTGATGTTTGAAGAATGTAAATGTGTAATACAATTTTAAAAAATTATCCTCTATATGTGTGTTCATTTATTGTCGCGGTGGTAACGACACGCTGTATATCTCGCTCTGTACTCATTTTACAATTGATTTTGAGGAGTTCCCTAAGTATCTCCGGCGCCCAAGATAAAATATAAATTAAATCAAAATGGGACCACATGGGGAGCACCAGTTTCAAATAAATAAAGAATCATCAAAATCGGTTCACCCATTCGAAAGTTGTGAGGTAACAAACATAACAAAAAGTACAGTCGAATTGAGAACCTCTTTGAGAATCGAGAACCTCTTTGAGAATTGAGAACCTCTTTGAGAATCGAGAACCTCTTTGAGAATCGAGAACCTCTTTGAGAATCGAGAACCTCTTTGAGAATTGAGAACCTCTTTGAGAATTGAGAACCTCTTTGAGAATCGAGAACCTCTTTGATAATCGAGAACCTCTTTGAGAATTGAGAACCTCTTTGAGAATTGAGAATCTCTTTTGAAGTCGGTTGAAAATATGAAGGTCGCACAAAAGTTTATAGGCAAGGGAGGATTGAGTGGGGAAAGGTGAGGGTTGTACCAATAATAATAATAATAAATATTTTAGGACACATTTTTACACAACATTCTCTAGTCCCAAACTAAGCAAAGCTTGTACTATGGGTACTAGAAAACTGATAAACATACTTAAACATACTTTTCTTTTGTAAATAAATACATATTATACATATATAAACACCCAGACACTAGAAAAATACTATGTTCATCCCACAATATTTATCCAGTAGTGGGGATCGAACCCACACGCTCTGGCGCAGGAGGCAGGTACACTACCCACAACGCCATTCGGGTCGTCAAACCACCAATAGTGATAGTGATATGGACCTGCGCATGTTCCCGCACTTCGGTGGGCGTGTGGCTCCGCGCGCGCAACTCCTCGTTGAGGCGCGCCGCCAACGTGGACGCCTCGTGGCCGCTCACGGTGTAGTGCAGGTTGCTGCGATAAGGGGAATCGTCATCATCATTATCATTATCATCATCATCATCATGATTATTATTATCATCATCATTATTATTATCATCATCATTAATATTATCATCACTATCATCATCATGATTATTATTATCATCATCATCATTATCATAATTTCAGCCTGTTTGAGTCCACTGCTCAACATAGGCCTCCCCGACAGAACGCAGTGAAGCACGATCCTGAGCAGTCTGCATCCATCCCCGCACGTGTGCACAGGTCATCACTTCGACTAGTTGGGGGTCTTCCTACACTACTGTGGCTATACGAGGAGAGTGTGATACGAGAAATAATAAAGCTCGTTTCTCGTTCGCACTGTACTTATCTTCTGCCAACCGCGCTCTCAAATAGCACTTGGTTCGAGCCCTACGAGCAGAAGGGACTAACTAAGCTTTCCGTGGTTACTATTCACACTATCCTTCATGAACATCTCTGTATCTGTCAAAGGTCAGCGCAAGAACGGTGCAGTGAATACTCACGCCGCTTTGAAACAAATACGAGTTGAGTGTTGCAAAGAGTTTTTGGAGCTCTGTGGCGGAAATGCGCATAGTATTTTCGACCGAATCGTTACCGGTGATGAAAGGTGGGTTCATCACTATCATCATGAGAGCAAACAAAAATCTATGCAGCGGCATAAAAAAGGAACAGACCCACCAAATAAGTTTAATGTCAAACCATCCGCCGGAAAATTCATGGCCACAGTGTTTTTGGAATCAAAGGGAATCTTACTGATTGAGTACACAAAAAACGACGAAGTTTTACTGCCGCACCTTACGAAAATAACTTACGTAATTTAAAGTAGGCAATTACAAGTAGAACATAATTTAAAACACTAAAATACCCGACTGCGTTTCTGTGTAATTTTTTATTTTGATATACCCAGTGCCACTCTGACAATAAATACGAATCTAACGGCACCTCTCTAGCTAAAATCCATCAAGCCGTTCAGGCTGCAGAGCGTGCCAAACAATTATGCATACATACATACACTCGAAAAACATAGCCATCCTTCTACCGCAGTCGGGTAAAAAAGGGGAATAAAAGAAAATTGACCGTAGGTGTTGTTTCTTCAGAAGAACGCGCCGGTTCACAAAAGGCGCGTTTCTAAGGCTGCTGTGCTCGATTGCGGTCCTCAAGAAATCAATCATCCACCCCACAGCCCGGATCTAGCTCCCAGTGATTACGGTGCTAGGACCACTTTTACGGTGGTAGGGCCACGCAGTAGCCTCGGCTGTTGCACGAATAGGCAGAACCGTCCGGGTAAGTACCACGACCTCACAGAAGACCAGCGTAAAGTGGAAGTATGACAAATACTTTCACGTTTCGTCTGGTGAGTGAGGTAGCTGGAGCCCAATTTTCAAAAGGTTGTCGACGCATCTGTAACCCTCGGGTTAAGCAGATGTCCGTGGCGGCGGTATTCACTTACCATCAGGTGACCCGTCTGCTCGTTTGGCAACTTTTCGCATAAAAAGAAAAAAAAAAGGTCCAACCGGGTAAGTACCAAAACCTCACAGAAGAACGGCATGAAGTGGAAGTAATATTCTAAGTTTCGTCTGGTGAGGGAGGTAGCTGGGGCCTACTGTATTAAAACGCATCTGTAACCCTGCGTGCGTTGCAAATAACAATGGGCGGCATTTGTCACTTAACATCAGGTGAACTGCCAGCTTGTTTGACAACTTATCACATAAAAAAGAAAAAGATCTTCAAGATGTTTCATAGTTTAAAAAAAAGGGGAAAATGATATTACAGTACCACTTACCCAGAGATATATATAGCACAATTACCTTTAAAAAGAGACAGTCGACTAATATCAGCTATATAGAGCGTTATCTCTGTCGCACACGACTAAAAACGTCAGATAGGTAGTGTGTGACAGAAATAACGCTTTACAACCCGAAATTAGCCGATCGTCTCTTTCCAAAGGTCGAAGTTCATTAATAATCCCAAAGTGCTAAACTTACCATATAGGTATGGGGTCTGAAGGTCTCAATTTACATTTAGATGAGTTTTTGGGCAAGAAAGTGTTATCCATATCATCCATGCGATCCTGTGAAATAATGAAACATCAATTACACTCCATCTCATGACTGATAAAATCATATTAAATTATAACAAAAATACTACATTAATACAGTTACGAAGAAAATTCTTTAGGCTAGTCCCTCACCAAGTGATAATCAAATCAAACAAGCTATCGATCTAAATATTAATAATATGGAATGGCATTAAGCGAGAGTTAAATAATAAAATAAAAATAAACCAGAAGCCTTCTTCATATTCAAGATTTTCATTATTTATTTAATTTTAGAGTTTATTCCGTTTTTTTTTTATTAATCTAGCGGTCGATGTTAAAAATAAATTAAATTTATTAAAAGTATCGCTTATTTATTTTAAATAGTGCATAATTTTTTTGATCCAGTTTTATAACTACTCAAACTCATGCTAGCACTACTAGTACAACCGTTAGTGACTTTTTTTTAGTCGTCAGTAATGTGAACAAAGTTTATTTCGCCCAATATTATTTCAATTGTACAGAATCGTTGCCGCCATAACCAACTAATTTGAATATTCCCGCATTAAGAAGACAATTAAATTGACTAATCATACTTATTTTAACTCCTGCACGCTCCAAATCGCATGGGCAATTCATTTTCGCCTACTTTCGCACTTCAACGCTTCGTCTATTTCAAATAATCAACCTCATAGTGACGACCTGTGCAAATGTGCGGGAAGTCGGTATGGATGCAGTAATTCAGGATCGTGCTCCGTGGCGGTCCATGGGGAGGCCTATGTTCAGCAGTGGACTCAAACAGGCTGAATTAGATCCTCACTAATCCCGCACATAAAGTCGACCATTTCTTAAAGTAAACTCATATCTGCGCCAATTAGCTTTAGTGTCGCCAAGCTTACCTAAGTTTTCAGCGTATTAACATTTCTTTGATTAAAGCGATAAAATAGTTTATTTGTAAATCAAGTTGGAAGCAATGCACGACTAAACATTTCCGAGGGATAATATTTAAAAGAAAAATTGTAACAGCAAACTAATAGTTTGTAAGGTGCAGTATACCTTGTATAAAAGAATTTTAATTCTTAATTATAGGAACGTTACAATGGCTGCGGAATTAATAAAATTACCGGTTGGAGTGTCTCCTGGCTGGCCATCTGGTCGTCTTCTCCTTCCTCCTCGATGCACTTAACCTCGTCGGAGGAGCTCTGCTGTGAACGATGATGAGATGGCAGCGAGTTAATTTCTTAATACATAAAATTCTCCGTCTCCCAAATTTTTGTTCCTTGTTCCTGTCCCATCCCACATAGGCTCTTGCCACGCAAGTCTTCATTGCACGAATACGCAGGTCCGTCAGTGTAAGTACCACGTCCTCACAGAATACCGGCGTGAATAGCAACTATAAAACTCTCGCGTTTCGTCTGGCGACTGAGGTGGCCGCAGCCCAATTTTCAAAAGGTTGCCAACGCATCTGCCCACCCTCAGGTGTAGCGGATGTCCATGGGCGGCGGTATTCACTTGACATTATACGAAGCGCGTGCTCGCTTGGCAACTTTTGCGCATAAAAACAAAGCGGAGTGTGCGCACCGAGTTGTTGGTGGTGGAGTGGTTGCGGCTGTGCGGCCTGAAGCCGGGCCCCGGCGGCAGGTTCTTCTGCACGCAGCAGTTCACGCCCGGGCTGAAGTGCAGCTCCACGTGGAACCTGGAAAATAGACGACGCCGAATTATAAAAAAAAAAAAAAAAAAAATATGAATCCGTGGCGCAGTTGCCAAGGCATTGGCTCCGGCGTCGGGGGTCGTGGGTTCGTCTCCCACACGGGACAACTATTTGTGCGACCCACAGATAGTTGTTTCGCATCTGGGTGTTTGTCCACGTGAAATTTATGTTTGTGAAACGTCCTTACAACACAGGATAATGTTATCCTAAAGTGAGGACAATGTTTATCAAGAAAAGAAAATTAAATTAAAACTTAACGTAATAATAAGACGGCTGAACTCACGTAAACACGGTTATTGCGTTACGAAAGCTATTCGTTCAACATACAAATATACCAATTATACAGGGTGATTTTATAGACGACGGACATATTAACAGAGCATATGCGGAATTTGATATTCTAAATCTGAATCTGGTACGTACTGGTGACCTCATTTTTTTCAAAGATTATTTTTAATTTTTTCGAATATTATGGACACCCTATTTGAAATTCCTGCATTACCGTCTCAATACAATAACCTATTCACGAGCACTTAAACTATTTGCTGAACGCATAATGACTACACCGCTTATCAATAAGGTGACCACTCTTAACGGGATAAACAAACAATGTTTGAATTGATATTATTCTGGTTATTTCTTTTCAAAATAAAATATTAATATTTTCTTTCAATTGTGGAGTGCTCAATTAACATTATGTCAAAGTATGTACTTCGTCCTCTGAAAGGAGGAGCGCCTTGCCCAGCGGTGGTACATGTATAGGCTGTAATTCTGCTTTTTTACTTTAAATGCGATTTTGATTTTGTTTTTTTGTTACGCTTTCCCGCGTACTACTCTACTAACTACTATTACTACTAACTACTTGACCGATTGTCATGAAACTTTGCATAGAGATAGACTAGCTCTTGGGAAAGGACATACAGGTTATCGCAAACAAATGACTTTAAGGGGTTGAAATAGGCGGAAAAATTTGTATGGAAGCTTGTCGTTGTCGACGAAAAAACCATGAAATGTTGTATTTAAGCACTTTTTAACAAAAATGTAAATATTACACAGGCGCTGGCAAGACTGTATACCGGATATGACATTATCTACTCGAGCCAAGGGACACATGGTCGCATGGAGCAGTGGTCACTTGGATTTCGGCTGCGTTCCCGGACGGTGATATAACCACTAGTGCTGCTTGTCGTTATAATAGTTGTTAATATTCAATTTCAGTAATAGTTCAAATATTAGCATCAAGGTAAAAATAGACACTTATAGATACAAGATTCAAAATAAAAATAGTTTCCAGCGTTTTTCTTCGTTTCGCAAAGGATGGGAAAACAAAAAACATAGTTATAGAAGGACATTGAAATATTTAGCTTATTTAGCACAGCAGTTTGTACATGTAATATTAGCAAGATAAGTATCCTAAAAAATGCCGCCCAAAGTAACTATTACTCGCGGACCAAGTCGCGGGCACAAAATAGTCTCAATATAAAGACTAAATTTTCTTCATAAAAAAAATTTACCAGCGCACTGTACCTCTCTTCGGAGCATGGGTCCTTCGTCGGATCCTCGTACAGCATGACCACGATCTGGGACATGTAGTTCAGCTCAGACACCATCGACACGTACTCCATCGCGCGGCGCCATTGCTCGTCTTTCAGGACCTGCAAGGACCACCCTCACGTAACTGCTGGAGTTGGCGGTAGCTTTTGGTACAACACACGTAATGCATACAGCATCACTGTATCTCGTCCTCGCTTATGGACATAGCGATCCCGATACATCGCGTGCGCAAGTTATTCGCTGTGCAGGAATATTTCAGTTCTGCAGCGGTTCTTTCGACTTAAGTTATTTCAACTCGCTGCCTGCGATTGAGTAGAGCGGTGATGAGTATTGCTTTCCCGCATTAGTCGCAGTCCCAATCACTTGTTATCCTCCTCGCACAGTAAACATTACAGTTGTGAAAAAATTTCTTATTGAATATGGTGAACATGAGACACGAACACATGTTTAAATTTATTCTTTTGTAGTTATACTTCTTTTGGCGTGTATGGGAAAAAAATTGAGAGTGAATTTCTACTGTGCGACACCAGATTTATGTTGGTACCATTGCAACCAATAACAACTTTTTGATATTCTCCAATAGAGTAAGTAAATAAATAAATAAGAGACTTTTGTTCGCGACGATACGTGCGCAGAACCCGCGGAGCCAACATCACTCGGGCGAAATCTACACGTATAATGAAAATGTATACATAATAAATAACAGCGCGGAACACTTACGTCCAGCAGGCCGCCGAACCGCAGCACGGTGAGCAGCGAGTGCACGTGGCTCTCGCTCGTGAAGTACAGTCGCGTGCGCACGTGTCTGCCCGGACTCGACACGCCGTGACTGTACCTGCGCCCAGCCTCTACATTACGCAACTAAACGGCTCTCCGCTGACAAACAGTCGCGGGGAACGACGCGTTTTTAAAAATGTACGACTAGCTGCGCCCCGCGGTGTTACCCGCGATTAAAAAGTATGTTCTTTTCCTCTATGTCCTTTTCTGTACCCCTTGTGTTCAGAATTTCATGATGATCGTTTGAGTATTTGAAAGCAACAAACAAACGAAGAAACATACAAACGTTTGTGGTATTTTTTTATTTAAAAAAAAAGTTAAAATTTCAAAAAACAGTTAAAAAGTTAAGATTAGCATTCCAATACCGTTTTGAAAACAACATTAAGTAGAAATATGGGCTTCATTAAAAACGTCTGGGTGCGAATCCCGAAGACGTGGGACGTGTGTTTAATTGATTCCCACAGCGGCAAAAAACTTTTCCAAAATACTAATTTTAATGGCTTATTATTTTCTCCCAGTATGTGAAAGTTTCTTAGTTAAATTCTTATTACTTAGTAACTTAAGGCCCATTTACACGGTGCCAGTTTCTTGTCTGTTGTATACAATTAAATTGAAGCAATAAATGAGTTGCATTGTCTCAACAGCACATCACATTCTTGACTGTTGAACAAGACTTGCTTCAAGTTTTGTTTCAAAACTTTCCTTGGTGTAAACAGCACACACAATAATTTCTTAAGCAATTCTTGTATTCAATTGCATTCTCTCTTCCTTGGCAAAAATTTGTGCAATGAGTGAGGGTATTTAATCATTGCTGTTCTTTGGAGGATAGAAATATTGAGAAAAGGCCGTAAAAAAAGTTGGATAAAAATATGAATAATAATATATGGATCATAATAAATAAATCTCAATGAAATATATTTAATCAGCATAATCTAACTTGAACACTTATTATTGAGCCATTTTTTTAAAAAAACAGCCCTTTGTAAAACGTTCAACACTTGCATGAAAAATTTGTCAACGCAAATACGTGCAATACTTGAAGCAACACGCCAATAAATTGTACACGCACATACAAGCATGTGTTTAGACAAGGCAAAACTTGAAAGCAATAATCGCCTAGACATAATTGCATTGGTGTAAACAAAAGACCTTTGCAATTATTTCCTGTCAAGACTTGCATACAATAATCGCATTCAATTTTTTTTACTATATCTGCGTGTAAACTGTTGCTTACAATTCTTGATGGTCAATTATTGCGTGCAACTTATTGCATTCAATTATTGCTTTTGTATGTACAAGAAAATGGCATCGTGTAAATGGGCCTTTACTTACGAACTTGTATATTAATATTTAATTATTTACGCAAAATTCGCCGTTTTATAAGAACGCTTAAGCGTTTAAAAAAATTGAATAAAGATAATTTGATTTGATTATATTTGTTTTACTTATTCACATTCACATACATCACATTCTTCACAAGAAAATCTTAACAGCGTGATTCAGGAAACTTATTGCTCGTCGTAACGCGCCATCTAGTGGCAGGGAGTTAGAACCAAATTCTTACTGTTTAACCAGAAGGAACAAACGTTATAAACGTTATAATCAGAATCCTGTAAAAAGATGTCTCTTTTGAGTCGAGGAATATTTTTTTTTTGATTTCCATTGTCCATTTTTATTGCTTTTCATTTGTCCATTTTTATTAACGGAAATCAAAAACCGACTACAAATATCTCGCTCTGTATTCATTTTATAATTGATTTACAGGGGTTCGCTAAATATCTCCGGGGCCCAAGATCCAATACCAATGAAATTAATATGGGACCACATGGGAAGCACCGGCTTTCAAATAAATAAGAATCATTAAAACCAGTTCACTTAGAAAGTTCTGAGGTAACAAATAAAATACAGTCGGATTGAGAACCTCCTCTTTTTTGAAGTCGGTTAAAAATGCGCTAATAATCTACTTCACGGCCTTTAACAAAACACTTTAAAACACGGTTCCCAAATGCACGGTATGCTATCCCAAAGGAAGCGTGCATTTTTCCGGGATAAAAATTTTACTCACAATCTTGATAGGGAGTAAAGAATACATATACACTTTCGTAAAATAAACTAAACGTAAAGTAAACACCCCTCTTTCTAAACTGCGGTAAAATTACACAAGCAAGACTTGTCTTTTGCTTGTTCTTGTTTTAAGATGTAAAGTTGCTATCAATAGAATGACAAGTAACATATTAGCGATAGATGTAACATATTAACAATTGGTAACGACATCACACCTCGGATTTAATCTGTTGACCGTCTCCTCGCCGGATTCCTCAATGTTTCTCTGCAAGTCCGCTCGGATTTTCTTCAGAAGCGGCGTGCAAATGCCCTGCCCGATGGTCAGCTTCTCTTGCATTGTGAGGCCGTATTCCTGACCCAAAGGGAAATAGTTCTCTAAAGCACATTTACTACAAGTACCATTGTAGTGTAAGGTAAACAATAACTTAAACACCTTACACCGTCAACCAAGTGTCGGAAAAAAAGTTAGGAGTCTTTCCAAGCCCACAACACGCCAAGACTCATATCAATCAAACCTTAAGACTTAAATAATAGAAAATTAAGACTTTCTGTCAGAATACAAAAAGAACCAGAAGCCGCGAACCCGCCGCATACTGAAGCATTAAAAACTACACCGAAATAGAGTATAGTTTTTCGCGCAGCTGTTTAGTCTGTCTGTGAACATCGGATCGCGTGACGTGATTGACGTGTTTTTTTTTTTAAATATTGCCCGTACTTTAGGATAACATTATCCTGTGTTGTAAGGGCGTTTACATACATAAATATCACGTGGACAAACAACCAGATTCGAAATAATTACCTGTTGATCACACAAATAGTTGTTTTGTGTGGGAATCGAACCCACGACTCCCGCGCGCCGAAGGCCAGTACCTTGGAAACTGCGCCACGGGGTTATTTAAGTGTGTCCAATTAAATAAATTTATGTCGTTTTGTGTTGTTCCTATGTATCTTATGGCGTGTTACAAATAGCATAACAAACAAATGCGTGCTGAAATTGTTTGTGTGTTGTAAAGGAAACAACAAGAGATGCGTTAATTAGCATTGCTAAAAATGCGAAAAAAAAACATGTTTTATTTTATGTGAGAAGGTCGCAAGCGAGCTGGCGGTTTACTTATGTCAAATGATAATCGACGCTCATAGCCATTTTGCATCAACCGTAGGGTTGCAAACGCATTGCCACCTTGTAATAAAGTGGGTCCCTACCACCTCACTCACCAGACGAGACGCCGAAGTGTGTCACTTCCACTTTACGCCAGTCTTGTGAAGGCTCGTGGTACTCACCCGGACGGACCTGCCCATTAGTGCAACAGCCGACGCCGTTGCGTGGCTACCACAGTTCGCACTAACTAATACTAAAAGCCAATTTGCATTTTTTTTAATGTAGAAACGCGAGGGCTCGCCGGAAAGCTCACTTGTGGTATGACGATGTCAGCCAGATACTTGGCGTACATGTACAACTCCTCTGCCTGGTCGAACTGCAGCGTGTGCTGGTTGTGCTGCAGGTCGTACTTGATGCAGTCGTAGATGTCCGGGATCTTCGATATGTCGTATGTCTTGTTCTTCGTGCAGAAGTCCTTCTCGATCTTGCCCCAGCGGCGCCCCATCAGCTCCCACGTTTCGCCGTGATACAGTATCGTGTCTGTTGACGGTTTTGAGCCATGTGTTAGCTTTTTAATAGATTTTTTCAAGTATTTATTACATTAAAATAGGATTTGAAATTGTCCATCTCCGGTTCTGAAAACCAAATGCCTTTTTCAAAGAGTTCAGTAGGACATATAGCTCTATATTTTTCTCCCCAACGCCTTTATTGGTTTAAAATAAAAATACGATTAATGAAAACGCGTGCAATCGTAAGGTAACTTGCCATAGAAATAAGAAAGAAGTGGTGTTGTGAATGAAAAAGGCCTATCAGACAGTAATTTTTTCGATTTGCATTCAGAAAAAGAGATATTACTCCTTGTCTATAAGGAAGACGGTCGCTTAATAGTAAGATAGAACTTGCACCTTTTTGAGTAGCGGAAAAGTCGAACGACTTTTCCAACGTTATGGGTGCCATTAAATTGCTGGTCTTTCTACTCAGAGACCTATATACTGATTAAGTTAGAGATCAAACCGATTAATGCCGTCCGTGGTTCAATACCCGAGGGTTTGCAGATGCGATGACAACCTTTGAAAAAGGGCCTTCGAAATGTATAATACCTCCACTTCACGATAGTCTTCTGTGAGGCTGCTATGTTTTGAGAAAATGGCAATAGAACTGGTTAGCTGAGTATAAAGTAACAGCCTATACATGTCCCACTGCTGGGCAAAGGCCCCTTCTATACAGAGGGCATCAGGGCATGATCCACCACGCGGCCCCACTGCGGATTGGCGGACTTCACATATCTTCGTTTTTTTTGTTATTATTTCGAAAATATGCAGGTTCCCTCGCGATGTTTTCGTTCACCGCGGAGCAAGTGATAAGTCAGCACTTAAAGTTAAAACTTCATTGGTGCTGGCACCGAGGATCGAGCTCAGGTTGCTCGAGTATATTGAATTAAAGGCGAGCGCCCGGACGCTGAGCTATCACGGCTCTCTATATATCAGCTGAGTATAACAATAAATGTGTAATGCTTCTTTTAAACGGAATAATATTTAAATATGAACTGAAAATATGATGGGGCCAAGCAACAGTGTTTGTTTTTGAACGACGTTTAGATCTTGGAAGCGTTATAATTCTGCGATTCGTCTGGCGAGTAAGGTAACCTGGCCAACTTTATTAAAAGGTGGCAATGCGTGTACAACCATAAACTGGGCGTAGCACATGTCCATGGGCGGCGGTTGTCACCGCATCGCTCGCCACCTACTCGCATAGAACGAGAATTGAAGGAGGCGAATGGGCAATTTCGTCCGGGTAATGCTTAATAAAATACTTTCGCGTTTCGTCTGGTGAACGAGGTGGCCGGAGCCCAATTTTCAAAAGGTTGTCCACCTTTAGTGTAGCAGACGTCCACGGGCGGCGGTATTCAATCAAAATCAGGTGAGCAGTGGTCGCTTGGCGCCTTCCGCACCTTTGGTCTTGGGGTCGTCCTTCTTGGTGAGCACGATGTGCACGAGGCTGCGTATGAGCGAGTGCACGTGCGCGCAGCAGCGCACCGGGTTGCTGACCAGCTGCATCGCGGCGCTGATGCTCAGCGAGCCGCACGGGTTGATCAGCAGCCGCTCCTCCTCGCTGAACTCGCGGTCCACCTGCATCGCGTCGTGCAGCCGCGCCTTCGCCCTGCGAAGCGACGTCGTGCACGGGTCAAAAAAATAAAGTTTTTTTTTATGTGATAAAGTGGCAAACGAGCTGGCGGTTCACCTGGGGACAACCGACGCCAATGGGCTTTTGCAACACGCATAGGGCTGCAAATGCGTTGCCACCTTTAAATAATGTGGGCCCCGGCCACGTCACTCACCAGACGAAACGCAGAAGTGTAACACTTCTACTTTATCTTCTGTACGGTCGTGGTATCTCCGGACGGACCTGCCCGTTCGTACAACATTGAACACTGTTGCGTGGCCCTTCCACAGTTACATCCTGTACATGTCCAGAAAAAAAAAGTTCTTTACTGAGCAAGCGCGCTTACCACCCACGGCCTCATCGCCACTTAACATCAGGTGGGATAGCAGTCAATCGCTAGTCAGCTTCATATATAAAAAAAGTAAAGTAACAGCGCTATACATGTCCCATTGCTACACAGAGGCATCCTGTATGTATGTAAGGACATAGCAATAGACGCGCCAAGCATTGCTGAAAATGCGAAAATACAATTAAGATAAAATTGATTTTCGTCGGTGTGACAATCAGCTGTTTAGCTCAATTGTTAAGCCGCGAATATGGAAGGCGTGGTCTCGTATTCTTGCAGCGGCTAGGGACTTATCATCCACTTTTTCTATAAATTCCAGCGGAGCTGAGCGTTAGAAGAAACCCTAGGAGTCTATATAATCTTGGCAGCAGCCAGCGCATTGGACAACGATGGAATCATCACGAAGAAGTACTTTTTTAAGCTAGCTAATAGCTTAATTTCACTACCCATCACTAAGAATGTTTTATTTGTTCAGCATCTGCTAGCTTAATTTTCACTACCACCTCGCCGCATGTAACTGGTGACGTAATGTAGTTGGTCACACAAACTAAGTAACGCTAAAGCTTATTACACGCACATACATAAGCGCGCGCGCTCATACACACACACACACACACACGAATTATAACATAAAAACGTTCTGTCCACGCACATGTTCTGCACTTTGGAGGAGTCGCAGTCGTTGTCGAGCAGCCCGTTGGTGTTCGCCGACTTGACCATCTGCACCAGTATGGGCGTGAGCTCGCCCTCCAGCGCCAGCAGCCCCTTGGCGAAGGCCGCCGCCGTCATCTGCACGCGGCCCTCGTCCGACGCGTAGATCTTCAGGTCGTGGCGGAACGTCGAGTGCAGGCGCAGCAGGCCCAGCCCCTGGGTGCCGCCTTCGCCTGCAACCGGCAACATTACCATTGGGTCATAGCTCAGTGTCCGGGCGCTCAGTAAATCAATACGCTCCAACCTGAGTTCGATCCCCGCTGCCGGCACCAATGAAATTGCTAATTTTAATTGTCGAGTTATCACGTGCTCGGCGGAGAATTAAAACATCGTGAGGAAACCTGCATATTTTCAAAATAATAATAAACAAAAATATTTCGAAGATATGTGAAGTCCGCCAATCCGCAATGAGGCCGCGTGGTAGACTATGCTCTGATACCCTCTGTATAGAGGAGGCCTTTACCCAGCAGTAGGACACGTTTAGACTGATACTGTCACATAGTATGCAGCATTCTGCTGCTGCAAAAAAGGCCGGTTCGATCTGGAAAGTGCGACAATTAGATCTACGTAAAGTAATAATGATTATACTTTTTACGTTTTACTCTCGCGCGGCGGTAATTATGGTAATTGTATATGCTAATTTTCTAAATTCTGTTATACAAATAAATAGTACTTGGCAATTGTTTATTATGACTAATATCATATTCTACACGTAGTTTACCTAACAGCTTGCTCATTAAAATTCAATTTTAATGTTTACAAGCTCAATTAAAAAAAAACTATACTATCAATTGTGGGCATGTGGTCACACTGTGACAGATATTCGGCACCAAAAAAGTTTAAAAAGCGAGTCAACGGCCTTTTTGGTAGAACAAGTCGTATCTACCACAGCTGACGTACTAGCCGTACCCGACGGTACAAGTGTACACACCGGGTATGTGGCGCCCCTGTCCCCCGGGGTACATGCAGCGGAACATGCGGCCCAGCTCCTCGGCCTGGATGCGGCCGGCGGGGGTCAGCTCGCCGCCCCACTTCAGTATCAGCACCAGCGACGGCTCCCCGCCGCTGCCTACTGCAACAAGCCCGCAAATCCATCGCGTCCCCACTTTTATTGCTATTGTTTAACGTCTTGGGATTCCTCCGTACAGACTACTCATCATTAGTTATGCGGCCATTTTTCTGTTTCCCCACTAGTTATTATTACTGAAGTTTAACATCTTCAGGATTTCCCCACATATAGAATTTGTCATAAGTTATACCGCCAATTTATTTATTTTTTCTTGTCCCCACTACCGATTCGAAAAGACAATGACAACTGAATCATTGGACCAGCGACGCGTAAAATACTACCAAATTAATTTTCTCTAAAGCCTCACCCAATTCAACTTATCTTTGAATTTTCTATTCATTATTTAGGCTATTTTTCTGGAAGCATTGAAGTCAGTGACCAGCAGACTGCATATAGTTTACTAAATTGCGTACTTTAGTCAATCTCTTATACCTAGCAGGTATATTAGAAAAACACTAACTAACATGACGTCACTCACAAAGCATAATATGCAGCAAATCTAAACAAACTAAAAAACGTTTCAGGATATCTGCAAATAGGATATTTTAATACTCGTACTATTAAAAAAAACATAATTGCAGACAATTATGAATTATGAGTTTTGAGGTAATGTATTTGAAATAACAACGTTTCTGATAAGGTCATTCTAAATTATTAAACTTCTAATTGCCTTTAATGCGTGCACAAAAAAAAGAATATAAAATTATAAACAAGTAAATGAAATCAAAAGCACATGCATAACTCCCCATTGTGATGATAATTTGTAAAAATCACTATGCAAAACTTCTTCACAATCAATTTATAATCCGATCATCTCTAAATCAGATATCAATAAAACCTGTAAAGGAATTGGCGACAATATGCGCCATGCTAGCCCAATATCATCAAGCATACATTGGCATGCTTTGTAGGTTGAGATCACTAATTCATTTCACTGCAAATGACATCATTGTATACTCAATTTCCAATCAAGCTTCACATAGTCCATGGAACAAATTAAGGAAATAAAAATATAAATCACGAGTAATCTTTGCATAGATAAGTGGGGATATTTACAAGATTAAACTAACCTTGAAGTTGAATAATCCAAGCCTATGCTCATAGCTAGAACTAACATTCCGAGACTATAATAATCTTGAGATGTTAGTTTTAGCTAGTCATTATCAAATAATTGCATAAAGAGATAATGTCAAAGCATTCTCTATACTAAAAGATATTATGTCATATTATTTTGTTTATACTCGGAAAAAACCTTGAAATCTTCCAAATATGCTTTTATATATCATTAAAAATGTATCATTAAACCAACATTTTATGCACAAATTAAAAGGAATTCGGGAAGTATAGGAAATACTTGGCAATGCAAAATTATTTTTTGCGGCATGTCAAATAACTCAATTCGAATTAATACTTTTCCAAGTATAATTTCAAATACATGCTAGTAAAAATTCTGTTGCACAAATGTCAAGAAACTTTTTCTCTTGTCAAAATTAGTCAATATGGGCAGCTTAAGATATATGCACTTTGCACCTTCATTTGGTTGATTTTAAAGTCTTTGAATAGTTCGTCTAGAACTTTTATTCAGCATTTACGAATTTAATGTAGACAAAATGATGTGTGCAAAGCACAGTAGTAAATGTTGTTAAACCACTAACGTCACCTCCTGTCGTCACCGTTAAAGATTGGAATAAAATATTATGCAATAGTAAAACAGTTGGGTATCGTTTAAATAAAGAATGTTAACAATATCATAAAGATTTTTTTTGTGATGCAAGTTAGCGATAATGTATATGACACAGTAGCAACACCATAACGTCCTTATGCTGTAGTTACGTCATTATCACGTCAAGATAACATCTCAATCATCGGTAGGATTAAAATATCGTCCATTAGGATAGCGTCAAGTTACGGTAGCGTCAGATCACGATAGTGACAGGTCACCACCATAGCGTCAAGTTACGTCAGTGTCAGATCACGCTAGTGTCAGGTTACGTTAGCGTCAGGTCATGATAGCTTGAGGTCACGATAGCATCAGGTCACGATAACGTAAAGGCACGAGAGCGTAAGATCATGCTAACGTCAGGTCACCATAGCGTCATCACTGTATTGTCAGACCACAATAGCGTCAGGTCAAGTCATGGTAGCGTCAGACCACGATAGCGTCAGGTCAAGTCACGGTAGCGTCAGATCAAGTCACGGCAGTGTCAAGTCACGAGTAAGCGTCGATGGGGCCGCGTCGCGACATGGTGACGACACGGGGCGGCGCGTGGGGGGGGGGGGGGGGGCCGTGAAAAGCAGTGCGAGGCAGACCGGCGTGCGCAGGCGGGTTACCGTCGTCGGAACTGGAACCACGCGGCCGGCCGCGCGGCTGGTACTTCATTTGCACTTTGCGATTGATACCAGAGAAGTGGCCGTACCTGGAAGGAGAGGCAATAAAACATTGCTTAAATTGTTTTTTACATCCTCATATTCGAGTATTTCATCCTTTAGTTTTCAGAAGAGAAGAGAATTCCATTAAGTTTGCCTTTAAACGTGTGCCGTTGATAAAGATTTTAATGCTAATATCAGTATTAAAATTTGTAAAAAAAAAAAATATAAAAACGAAACATTCACCGCTGCGGGAATTAGAGCCGCGTCTTCCTTCTACAAATTTTAATATTTCATCTTATGTGCAGATATTATCACCATAAAAAAATATTTTAAATTGCAAAGGCGTTTTTCATTCGAATTATCGTTGTAAAACGATATTTGAAATTGATTGTGTGCTTTAAAGGACATAACAATAGATTCGCCAAGCATTGCTTAAAGTAATAAATGCGAAAAAACGATGTAGATAAAACACGTTGAGACTTTCGTCGATGTGACAATCAGCTATTCAGCTTAGTTGTTAAAGCGTCTGGGCGCTAATCGGGAAGGCGCGGTTTCGATTCCCGCAGCGGGAAGAATTTTTTGTCCATTTTTTCTACAAACTATAATGTTTCATCTCAAGTGCAGAATTTAGAAGGGAGGTAGGGGACAAATATTTACACAGGCTGTCAGGAAAATCATCACTTAGCGACTCACATCTCCAGTACGCTCTTGAGCTGTTCCAGTTTGCCCTGCTTCTCTTCGATCTCGGGGTCGGCGTGGCGCGTGTGTATGTCGGCCAGGAGGGCGCGCGCGATGTCCAGGATCTCCTGCAGCTGTTTCGGCCGCTTCAGCTTCACGTGGCCCCGCTTGAAGCCCTCGTACTTCTCGAATATTTCGAAGAACCTGCATCATAACGCGCAGCCGCCATTCAATTCCGCACCAATACTAGCCTAACACTAGCACTAGTAACTAACTAGCTCCAATATATCCCGTCGATGTTGTCTTTACACTTTTAGACCTTTATTATTTCTGCTTATATAAAAACAAAGGTCTTAAATCAATGCGTCCAATACTCGTGGCGGGACGAATTCACAAACTGAAAGTCGCTCAGCTAGCCATGTAGAGAGCTGTACGCAGAGTTTCTCTGGAGGGTATGATCCGTCCGAAAACCAAAGTATTCGAAATAGCTCTCAGGGCAAGTAGCTGCGTGACTTCGAAAAATTACTGTCAGCTCAATTGGCAATTAAGGACGCAAGATTGAGTCGTATGGCCTTTACTAAGAGAGGTCTACATCTGTACACAGAAGACAAACAAAAGCTGATATGATGATTTTGTCCATGCAAACTTTCTCCTAGGTAGGGTGCACACAGCATGTGAATTATTTTGCTAATTCGACATAGCTCAGAAGGTTAGCAACCTGAAGTGGAGATGGGCCGGCCATTAAGCTCGTAGAACCGATAACCGCTCATAAGGTTCTCATGTGGCAGCCTCGAACTGGCCATCGTAGTGTGGGACGAGCACCCACTAGATGGAGTGACGACCTGTGCAAATGTCCGGGAAGTCGACGGCTGCAGGTGGCTCAGGTCTATGTTCAACAGTGGATTCAAACAGGCTGAAATGATGATGAGGATGATGAATGCGACTGGATGGATTTTTACAGAGCACAAAGCGACCCGAGCGTCATTACCTCGGGTGGCGCACCTCGACCTTCATCTTCTGCTTGGGCGTGCGGTCCCCGTGGCGGATGACGCCCACGACGCAGCGCAGCTCCATCATCTTGCCGAAGGTGGTGGGCACGATCGGCGGGTCGTCCAGCTGGAAGGGCACCGACCACGGTATGTGCAGGGTCGGCGCCAGCTCGCGCAGTATCATGTTGCCGAGGATCTTCGCGCAGTCGTCGTAGTACTTGTTCGAGTTCTTCACGAACGAGAAGCCGTTCACGTCGCACACGAACGACTTGCCGTTCGCCCTGTGGCGGATTGGGGAGGAGCGACTTTAATCACTGTGGTAGGGCCAGCAGCTGCTGCTGATGCGGAATGGGCTGGCTCGTCCGGGCAAGTACCTCGGCCTCACGGATGAGCGGTGCGAAGTGAAAGTATTGTAATTTCGCATTTCGTCCCGTGGGTGAGGTAACCGGGGCCCACTTTTTAACGGTTGTACAATTTCTGGTGTTGTACACGTCTATAGGCGGCGGTAATCACCTTCATCAGATGAACTGCCCGCTCGCTGGCCGACATTTAAAAAAACAATTTGGATTCGAACGGGGAGAGTAGGTTAAGTTGCCTCATGAATGCTTGGCCTAAAATATGATATATTATATCATGATCAACTTGTGGACCAGATTATACCATGGCAACAGATCTTTCAATGTAAATGATGTAGCATTGTTGAAAATAAGCTTGGTTTTGATTGACTTCATTGAAGTATACTTTTCACGGTAATTTGAAAGTATACCATCAATAGTTAAGATAAGATAGACTCGTACAAGTTTACATTCCACTAGGATAAGCGTTTGATTTAGAAAAAACTGAAATCTTGATAGATTTCAGTTTTTTCTTTAGGTCTTCAGCATTTAGCGTATTGCTTATACACGCCAGAAAATCTTTAAAATTACTCACAAAAACATCATTTATCATCAAAACTTTTATTCAGTTAACACAAATGATTTGAAACAAAAGTAAATAAAGCATTTATCAATCGTTTTTTCAGTCCAAATTCCAGCGTTAACATTGTTCTTTTAATAGCTTTTGTAAAATTTCTAGTAAGACCGTGTTTGGAGTCGAGCCAAGCTCAATGCGGCACAACATTCATAAAACCGTAAAATATGTCTCTGACGTCACATTCTTGATATTTTGGCTAACAGCATTTCCTGATTCGATAATTACGCAGTTACAACAATGGCCTTGGGTGCCAGGTGATTTACTTTTATCGCCGATAAGTATCACGTCATACTTATTTCTAAAAAACCAAACAGACGAACGGAGTTTTCCGAAGGACATTTGATTTTCTCTATTTAAATGTATCTAATATTTATAGGTACTATTTACTTCTTTACCTTTTTGGGGCACTTGGTTTCGACTTGGTTAGTTTGATCTGATCCGATAATTGTTCCGGGTAAAATAAACTTAAGAGTAGTACTATAGAAACCCGTAAAGTACCGGATTTTAATGAAATTTCTAACTGAGGCTATAAGATATAAGCTAGATTAACCAGCATTATGTGATGTTACTTAGCCAAAAAAAATATTGTCTATGACGAGCCGATAGGTGTAGTGGATAGTAAAGTTGCGTCTTGCGCCAGGGGGTGAGAGTACAATCCCCACGATTAGAAAAATATTTTGCGTTTACAGTGTCAGTGTCTTGAGTGTGTATACATATAGTATATCTATAATATGTATTTATTTACAAAAGAAAAACATGATTTAGTATATTTACTAGTTATCTAGTACCCAACAAGCTATGCTTGGGATTAGAGAACTTTGCGTAAAAATGTGTTTTTTTATATGTGAAAAGTTGCCAAGCGAGCAGACGGTTCATCTGGTTTTAAGTGAATACCGCTGCCCATGAACATCTGCTACACCAGAGGGTTCCAGATACGTTGACAATCTTTTGAATATTGGGCTCCAGCCACCTCACTCACCAGACGAAACGCGAAAGTATTATACTTCCACTTACGCCGGTCTTCTGTGAGGTCGTGGTACTTACCCGGACGAGCCTGCCCATTCGTGCAACAGCCGAGGCCGCTGCGTGGCCCTACCACCGTGAATAATTTATTTATTTATCATTTGGATTGTCATATTGAATAATTTAGTCGACAGTCGACTACTCGAACGTTACGAAATCGATCTTGCGGCCTCACCTCAACAGGTCGAAACCGCACACGGTCTGCTTGAAGGCGAGGCACACTTTGCGCGATATCAGCTTCTCCTGGTTGGAGAGGATGACCGGGTAGCGGATCTCCTTGCCCTCGGAGTCGCGCTCCACCTTGCCGTCCAGGGCGGGGCTCTTGCGCGCCTCCGCGTGCGCGTAGTCCGGACCCACCGTGTATACCTTCACGTCGGTACCTGGCAACGTACCGAAGCCTCAAAAACGGCACACATCGCAACCGGGTAGGCTTCATTTTCAATCAACTTCGGTCCCTAGCAACGTACGACATCGAAAACGCTCTACACGTATCGCAACTAGACAAAGGATCTAATTTTGAATGGACTCTTGCTGTTAGGATGAGACGCCTTTGGTCTCGATTAAAAAAAAACCCTGAAACGCGTGTTCGTAAGTATTGTGAGTACCGAATATTACTGCTCATCCTTATAAACTGGAGAAGCATAAAGCTTTATTTTCCTTTTTTTTCCTCTTTTTTATTATTTCGAATTTCAAAAAATCGCGCGTTTCAGAGTGCGCAACACACAGTACACATGTACAGTGTCACAGTCTGTGTTAAGACACCATGACCCCGACAATTGAACATTAAATTTCGTCTCACGTTAAGGCATATTGTGTTACATGAGAGAGAAGAAAGAAATAATATAGAGAGTGTAAGCGACGTCAATATAAAGCGATAGAGTAAGACGTGCGCGGAAAATTATACAGGGACATTTTTTGAGAAGTGCCCTAATTTACACAGGAGGTTCAGACTCGGTAGTATATTGAAATAAAAAACTTTCTAAAAAGTTTTTTCCAAAAAAAAAAAATGCCATTCTATTCCCTAAAAAACAGAACGCGTCGACAATGCGGTAGTCATTCATAAACACCTAAATTTTACTGTGCTTCGTGCACTGTAAAATTTAGGTGTTAGTTAAGTACTTGTTAGTTATGAATGATCGCGCGTAAAATAAATGAGTTGCCTATAAATCACGCACTTTTTGAGATAAGTTCAAATGAATGTAATTAATTACTTACGAGTGATTTTAAATATTTATCATTTTTATATAACATTATTTATGTCTAGAATTTAATAAAAAAATGGATACACTTATAAAAGCCATCCTGTATAGGTATATAATTATTTTTTTTTTAATTTATACGTTAATCGATCGAATTATTTATCGCAGAGTGGTTATGTAAAGCTCTCCCCCAAACTCTGTTAGATTTAGACATTTGATTATAGCTTTTTTTACGACAGGCGAGTTTCAAAGCTGGATCAAATCTATTGCGCCAAATGGGACATTTTCTATAAGTAAATCTAGCATGCTTAAAAGCAACGAATCCCGTAGTGACGTTATTTTATATCTCAGCGAGCCTGGCACCGGTCCTCGCAAAATATCCAGGAAGTAAACTTACCTCGTGTGTAACGACCATATTATTATTTAGGATATTTTTAGCTTATTAGCGAGGAGTATTTGTATGATCTGCAATTGTATTGTGTATGATTTTCTTTTTATAACTAGTGTATTTAAAAAGTATTGGCGAGAGGGCATGGTTCGATCCCCACTAATGGATTTTTTTTATGGTGAACAAAGTATTTTTTTATTGTCTGGGTGTTTAGATATCTATAACATATATTTATTTACAAAAGAAAAGTATTTCTATCAGTTACCCCATAATACAGCTTTTACAGCTGGGACTAGAAAATATCGTATAAAATTATGTCCTGTAAATATTTATGTATTTATTTATTTACAAATGAACCGTTATAAAAGCTTATCTCTAGTTGTAGTAACAATAGTAGTAAATATTAAATTTCAAAAAATTCAAGATAAGCACGTACATTTATGTACGCATATCTGTTGTAAATAAATATTTTTTAACCACACTCACTCACCATCAGTGGGCATAAAGTCCTCATATATGAATGAACCAGTCTTGCGTACTCTAGACTCTGGCGAATAGATACTACTGCGACTACCAATCTGCGAAGAAAGATATTAAAAAACCAGTTTATAAAACACTAGCTGATACCCGCGAATACGTCTGCGTTTGCACCATTGTTATACGCCAAGAAAACACACACACTGAAAATGTAGTACGTAAAAAAATAGTTTTAAAATATACTATATAATTTCTTAAAATGTAAAAGCATTAAATGAATATGTCACAAAATGTCCTCTCTAAGTAAAGACCAAGTGTCTTATAAATAAAACTTAGAAGAATTATTTTCAATTATCCAGTATCTTTTCGTCACGCCCGCACGAGACGACTTCTATCACTTTGTTTATATCTAGAAGTAAAGAGAACAAAACCAAGAAGTAAAGAGAAGAAAACCAATAAAGCAAGAACAAAAAAAAATCAAGCAGAATTAAAAAAAAAGGCGACCTTCCTAAACAGCCGCTGACTGCCGCCACCCGCCGAGGTCGGATAGTAAATGTAAATATTGTGGTCTTCCGCCGACACCGGTTTTTCCACGAAGGGCTTGTTGAACACAACACCGTTCACCTCGACGTGATCCTCCGATTCCACTAACTCGTGATCTATTCGAAAGACAATGGAGCTCGAATTACATGGGAATTGGCCGATTCCGTCACTCGAACCGCCAGCGGCGTTACTTACGCTTCGGATCGGGCGAATCCCTGTCTAGCACCGCGTAACGGGGAATCTCAATGCCTTCGCCCTCCAATATGGCGTAAACTCTTCTACGGTCCTGCAGGAGACATAATAATCTTTGTTTCACTCTAGTTTTCATATCAACGGAGCAATCAAGCAGAGAATCAGCAGAAAAATCAGCTGTGATCTGGCCACGCAACATTGTTCACTGTTGCACGAAAGGACAGGTCCGTCCGGATAAGTACTACGACCTCACAGAAGATCAATGTAAAGTAGAAGTGTTACACTTCTGCGTTTCGTGTTGTGAGTGAGGTATCCGGGGCCCACTTTGTTAAAATATGGCAAAGCATTTGCAATCCTACTGGTGTTGCAAATGTCTATTGGCGGCGGTTATCACTCAACATTAGGTGAACCGTCGGCTCGTTTGCCACTTTTTTAATTAAAGAAACATTTTTATAATGTAAGATTTTTACTTCTTATATTTAATTTAGACTATTCAACTTTTAGAACTTTTACAGCATGTTAGAATTTTATAACTGTTTAAAGAATGGGAAACTGTTAATGGCAATAACATTTTGACAATATTGCACATTTTCAATGTTAATTTTGCTGATAATGTAAATGATCTGGTAGTTATTTGTAATTTATTCAAACATATCTATAAGCAAGTGACATTTCACTCATACATAGTGTAGACAAGTGTGCCATTATCATTGAAATTTGACACTTATTAAATAATCCTCTTTGTAAACACTTGATAAATCAAAATGTTACTAAGCAATTTAGAATTACATATGTATTTGATGTGGACTTGATTTGTTAATTATTTAAAATTAGGTGCTGTTGAATAAATAAGTAAAACCTTTACCTGTATATCATATTGCATGTGCAAATTGTTTATAACATATGGCTTCCTTAACTTCTCATATTGAATAGCTTTGTCAAGGGGAAAGCCTTTTGAGTGGAAGGAAATTAGACAATCACAGATCGGCCACTCCTCAACTGGTTTCTGCAATGAACTTACTTATTGTAAAATATATTGGAATAAATGTCAATTACTATAAATTTTGTTACAATGAAACACCATTAAAAATGAGGTACAGCTTGGATGGATATTAGGCTATTTTTTTAAGTAAACATGCAAGCAGAGTTGTGCCGCAAATGAAAAGTGTTGGTGCAAGTAGTTTGGAACACTTTTGAGGAATCGGTAGTGGTTAATATGAAGTTACTTATTCATTAAGTAGTGAAACAAAATTCAATAATTAATTTTATCCATTTTTGGACCATTACTGATTAAGAGCTTATTTTAATGTAAAATTTTACCCAAATTGTTATATATTTTATTCCACTACTGAGGTTAGATATTCAACAGAACCTTAAGGATAACCTCCTCAGGGAAAACAAGCATCTTGATGTATTCAAACTCATCAAGACGTGTAAGTATTTCCTTCATTGGCTTCGACTGCGACTTCTTGGCCATGGCGCATACGCCGACCACCACTTTCTTGCCACCGCCATCGCAGTGGGCCTCCAGAGACTCGCAGAGATCCAATTCGCCCTAAAATAATAGATGAAATAGTTAAAATGCATACAAGAGAAACATTTAATGTAAAATGATATTAATTAAATAATAAAAAAACACGCACGCAATAGTATTAAAGAAGTACAGAGGCATGAATGTTTTGATGGATAAGAAATGAAAATTAACCATTCTTTATTTTTCTTGATGTAATATGCAATAATATTAATTGAAAGATAAACATAAGATAAGGTGTTCTGACTAGGAGTCAGAACACCTTATCTTTCAATTAATAATTGACAATTCACATATTTGTATGAATTGAAAATCTAAGAATGCATCACAAACTATAATGGGAAAATAGACTATACATATTGTTAAGGCAATTTTTTTTATTATACTTGATCAACAACACTTATACGCCAATTAATGATCTGTGGAGCGAAACAGGGAGGGTCATTTCAGGAAGTACCACTAACTAAAAAAAGACTGCCATGAAATGGAAGTATTTTTTAGGGCTTGACGTGGCCTGGCGCTCGGGGCGCCTAGCCTAAATCCCGGCGTATTATTATTACGCATTACGGTGACTAACTTCTGTGGCTTTGTGTACCGGAATCGTAGCTGAACAGTGGACGGCAGGTGTGGCACAGTAGCTTGGTCTTTTCCTAAGAGCTTGCCACTGCTCTGCGCACCACTTGGCGGGCTATTCCAGCTAGTGGATACAGTATTTGTACTGGAGTCGGTTTTAGGCAACCACATTGTTACATAATCCAACAGGTTTAGTTTAATACTGTATCCACCAGTTTTGCATAAGCTAAACAGCTCTAAGCTGGACCAGCATAATATTCGCCTGCAGAGAAGGAAAGTGCCAGGCCAGTGGTTTGTAGAACAACAAGAGAAGCTCCGCAATTCGACGCAACCAGACGGCGCAAGAGGTTGTTTCTAGCATGCACCTTCTGCTTGACGTTCTCGCAGTGCTTCTTTTTTAATAAAACTGGACATGTGGCTTCTGTTGCTTTAGAGAATTGTCGTACCGTGAAGTGTCTGGTACAAGACCATTTGTTTGCCAGAAGTTATTGACGAACTGTGTAAAAATAACCGCAAACGCCGTATCATCTTGCATCCCGACAATGCTAGTACCCATACAGCCAGAAAGATAAATGAATTTTTGAAGGTGAAAATCGTAGACTTTATGAGCCATCCTGCATACAGTCCTGACTTGGCACCTTGTGACTTTTTTCTGTTCAAAAATTAAGAAGCAACTATGCGGTTAACAATTTTCATCACCAGAAGAGGCTGGCCAAGAGTATTAAAAAACGTTTATGAGGTCACAGAGGTAACAAAGGAGTGGCAAAAATGTGTTTATTTCATGTAACAATATGAAAAAAAGCATTTATGCAAAGAATATTTTGAGAAACAAATTCATTTTCGACCTTTAATAGAATTTTTTTCTTATTCATTCTGGAAACTTTTAGTGTACCACTCGTACTAATCTTGCTATTTCATTCTTTGTGTGAACAGTAATAATAATAAAGAACGAAATAGCAAGATAACCTTTGGTTTTGTTTATATAAAAGATTTTAAATAATAATATAGTAAGAAACATTTTCAGTAGATAAAAAAATTAATAAACCAGATTAAATTAATACTTTTCATATTAGCTAAATATGTCATGTTGGATTTAAATCTTTTTAGCTCACATCTGGTAAACAATCATCACAATAACAGAAGTCATCTACATTCTGTTCTTTCTCTTTATTGTTTCTCCATAATTTTAAACGCCACCAGTCCTTTAGCCACTGCCACTCCATAACCAACCACTATCTAAAGTTATCACTAATTACAAAATTATCAACTTTATTATATTAAATGTGATAAAGAACAAATTCAACTCCTTCACAGTGATTGGTCACACTGGCACTGCACATGATAACTAAGATAAACTTGACAAATTAACATACTATATTACCTTAGTTGTCATTGTCATTACTACTTTGGAAGTTACAAATAATGTTCACTCTACATCTTTATGACACTACATTGTAAATGATGATGTTACAAACAATTCAGCAACACTGATTTTATCTAACAATAGCACTAACATAAATTCGAAGTGTAAATTGATTGTGAGTGTAAGAAGGCTTATATTTAAAGGCATTTGAGATGCTTGGACATATTAATAACGAATAGTTTTTGCGAAAGTTCAATAGTAAGCTTAAAAACTAATAACAATTAGCAACCACAAAAATTTGTTCGCTTAGTTGTCTTATGGGAACAATATTTCCATCCCCCAACAGATAAAACTGTTTTCTAAGGCATATTTGCTTAAGATGGATGTGACATATTATAGAATAGTTTCGAATTTAGTTCAATAGTAACTTAAAAACTATACAATTATACAAAACAAAAAATTGTTCGCTTACAGTTGATCTTATAGGAACAAGATTTCCATCCTCTCCAACATAAAACTGTGGTTGAGACGCTTGTCGCAAGCCTTGATATCCATGTTCAAGCTCAGTGTATGACATTACCTACATAGACTAGCTTAGAAATTAATTTACCAATACTTCAAATTAATGTGAACTATTTGACTGAAAAATAAAGTCGGTAGATAAAACGGAAAATATTTACAATCCCTAGTTCATATACAACAACAGGTATTTATTTGACAATAAGTTTGCCTGCCTGTAGTTGATTCATTGATTATTGACAGTGACATTTGACAAATATTTGCTCCGATGTCCAGAAAATATATTAGGGAAGCAGTTTTCTATACACTTTTTTTTTTATCTTTAAGCTTCTTTGGTGAATCTTTTTGGTGGCTTTGATGGTCTCATCGGAAGAGGTCCCTTGTTATAGATGTCCAACCGATTCAGAACAAAACAATAAAGTTCGTGCATGACGACGATAAGATGATCCCAGGATAAATCCTGAACCATCATTGAAACGCCTCACAGGAGCATTATACTGCAGCGTGCCAGAGATGTCAATTCAGTGCGAATTTGCTATGCCATGACATAAAATGCATCTACGACTAGCCTCAAAAAGAAAATTTTGCGCCTAAGTCGCTAAAGTAAAGTAGTCGCTAAATTTGTCTTAACTTCTTATTTTGAGACCACTCCCCCGTCCGCCACAGCTAGTATCGGCTCAATTGGCGTCGACATTTCGAGCAACCTCCAGTTGCACGGTCAATTCGAAGTTAGGCCAAATTTGCCTCAAAGAAACTTGATGTGCTCAGCTAGGCGAGCCACTACTTCAGGTCAGCTCAACGCTTAAACCTCAATCCTCATAAGGTGCAAATTCAGTCCCAAATGGAGTACTGTTCTCATCTATGGGCGGAAGCCCCCAATACCAGCTACTTCCGTCTGGCGCATTCAACGTATTGCGGGTAGGGTTTTCGACTATCGAGCTCTCCGATCGGCTTAACTTCATCCTTGTCTCTGCGTAGAGATGTTGAACCACTATGCATCTTCTACTATATCTAACACGAGGAATATTCTGAGAGATTTTTGGAGTGATCTCGGCCACTGAATTTCACCATCGGACAATGCGACAAAACCAGAAATTCCATCCTCACCACCTGGATGTCCATTATCATCGTTCCTAAATTTCATACTCATTCCTAAATTTTCTCAAAGGTTTAAAAGACAGTGTAATCTATGGTCTTAAAAATCACAAGGAACATCATAAGAGTTACATCATAAAAATTACATCAAAAGATATAGGTATCCTTGGGCAACTTAAGCTTATTTATATTAATGATCATCTTACTTCTGAAAACAAGGCTCTTTACAAGGTGCAAGTGCAAATTAAGGGCAGTTGGGTCAGCCTACAAATTTTTCTAAAGAAAAATCTGTTTAAAATGTTAAAAACGACTGCGAATACCGGATAAGGATACAACGGAGTATTTTCCAGGGTGACCTATTGAGCACAATATGGTTTTGCCTCTCCCTGAATCCTTTCAGCATGTTACTGGGGGTGCTCGGGGGGGATGATTTCAGCTTCGGAGAGGAGGGACAAAAGTTTTTCACCTTTCTACATGGATGGCCTCAAATTATTCGCATCCAACCGCTGTCATTTGATGGCATTGCTTAAAGTCACTTGTGATTTCAACAATTCTATCAAATGGAGCTCGGGATAAGAATGCGGTCCTCCATGTCGAAAGGAGAAAAGTCGCTAATACGGAAGGTAGATTTATGGTAAATGTAAATAACTTTAACTCCGGCGTAATTCGATTAAAATAAATTTTAAACGATAGAGAAAAATCACTAATGAATTTATCAACAAGCAGAATTCGGCGGTCGCTCATACTTTTCGAAAAAATAAATAATGATATAGTGTGATTTTTATTACAGAAATCCGCCATTTTTTTGTTGTCAATATGTCAATTCTGCTCGTATTTCTTGGTGGTCATAAAAAAAATAACCTAACATCGAAGGTTGATTGAAGTTGAACAGAGAGCGCCAAAGAGTACGTACTTTAATTTTATATACAAGATCTGAAAGCGCTGAGGCGCGTTGCTAGATGGACCTATGGCCTCCGTCCTCCGCTCACCGTTACGAAAATATGTTCCTTATTTATTTAATTTTATTAGATCTTTCTAAACGAAACTAAAAGATGTTTATTCACATATTTCGTATTTTTATTTGTATTTGATAATTATCTTGTGATTGATAAGGTTTATCAGTCCTATACATACAGTGGACCATCATTCTATAGGGATTGGGTTCAAATCCCTACATTTCTTTGTTATATTTTTTAGTAATTTTCTTTTTTGTAAATATTTTTTATTTATCATTTAATTTTTAATGATTGATTTATTTTTATAAATAATTACAACGAAATATTATTCTATTTTTTGAACGTAGAACGCAACAGTTGGAGAACAATCTATCAGATAATAAACCAACTTTTCATTATTTCAAATTTTTAGCAAGTCTTATATTGTATATTGTTTTTAATTTTTTTTATTAAAATATTTAATTTTTCACCCTAAATCGAAAATTAATCTTTTATGAACACGTAAAATACTTGTTTTATAATTTTTTTCATTCATTTCTTTATATAATTTAAAATCATTAATAAAATGATAATATAATATGATAATAAAATGATGATAATAAATTCATTATTTTCGAAATAATAACAAAAAAATATATATATTTCGAATATATGTGAAGTCCGCCAATCCGCAGTGGGGCCGCGTGGTGGACTATGCCCTGATACCCTCTGTATAGAGGAGGCCTTTGCCCAGCAGTGGGACATGTATAGGCTGTTACTTTACTTCTTCTTTTTACTTCAATTTCTTTATTATCCAAATTATAAGAAATAAAAACAAAATAATTAATTAATTAACAAATTAAAATTGGGAAAATATATATACCACTCAATAAGGTTTGAACTTACGACCACCGTAATTGTTCATCTACCACGCTTGAACACGATGTCTGGTTGGTGACAAAATTTCGATTCTACTTATAATTGTTGTCGTTTATCGATATAAGGAATTTTATCGATAATTTTTTAAATATAATTTCATTGCGGAATTTATATAAAGTAGTTAGTCTTTATTATTTAAAAAATAAATTGAAGATATATAGTTTAAAAAAATATGTTTTATTACATATTTTCGTGTAAGTCGTATTCGTTATTTCTGCCGTGGATACCATGGAATTGTTTGAAAATTTTGTGAACTATTACTTTAAATCAAAATAAATAATTATTCGTTTATTTATTGTTTTGTTGTAAGAAATGTCATTTGCCTTTATTACTTTATTTGACCTTAAGATGTATTTTTAATCAATTCTAATCGGTTTCCTGATAATTTAAAATTATTAATAGGAAGATTTTCTAAAATTGTTTATTGCTTTTTCATACTTTATACTTTTTGTTTATTACTATTGCTATAACAATGTTACGAACACATAAAGAAACTAGCGCCATCTAGCGTCAACCAGTAAACGCGCTCAAAGAACAAAGACAACATGAAACCCCTATTCAATACTAGATGGCGTTAGAAACTGTGAACTACTGTGAAACTATAGACTCAAAAACCGGGTATATTCGCGAACTTTTCGGAATCACGATCACATATAAAAAGCCGCAGAGAGGCGAGCCAGTTCAGTTCACTTTGAGCTACCTTCGAGGCGACTTCGAAGTGAAAACAAGTGATCAAGAGTGATACCAGCGAAACCTACGACTTGGCTACAACCTAGGACATCGTTAGTGCTTAGTGTTTGCACCTAGTGCTTTGTGTTGGACCTAGCGCTAGTGAATAAAGTCTTCAAAAGAGTCAGCAGGTCTTTCTCTCCAAATCCTTCGAACCCTAACTCGTAACAATAATATAAAAGTAAAATATGGTCTTTAAAAGATATTATAGGGATCATATGTGTACATTTTTGATAGCCTTCCATGATACTATCGATAGAATCCTACAGCCTACCACTACACACACACTAGGTAATTAATGACTTGGTCACGCGGCGCGTCCCGCTAAGCCGGGTTACCCGTCCTCCGCTTCCTCATACTTCACCACCCAAATAGTTAAAAATTCACTGTGTTCAGCGCCTTAACGTCTAGGTCATGCCAGTCCTCATGTATACCTTTGGCATAATCAGGTGGACTCAAAGTTAAATCGAACTCATCGCCCTGGACCGAAAAGTTCGCACAACTATGACGTCCAACAGGATGCATCATCCGAGATCGTCGGTGATGAGGCTCTTTACCTGCCGCGATAGCATGGCGGGAGGGGCTTTTTAAGCGCCCTCACAATGCACAATCGTGATAAGTCAATCTACAAGGATGTCATTAG